CTGACATGAGATTTGAACCAGGGGCTACCCAGCTAATGGCTCTTGCCAGCTCAAATAGAAGAGTTTCAAACGTCCTCTGGGAAAAGTCCAAAATGTTGCACAGCTTCAGGAGAGCAAAGGCCTGCAGTTCGGAGTGGCCATGAAGAATACTCCTGAATGTGTCTTTGCTATTCAGACATGGTGTACAGATGATATTTGTCAAAAAGGAGTTTTTGATATTGGGGGCCCACCACACATTCATCTTTTAGGTGTACATTGGGGTTTGTTTTTTTAGCATACCCTTGCAAGTCGGTCACACAAATGATAAAATCCAGTCTTTGGAAATGTGTGCCACGCAGGTATTCTCTTCCAAAGAGCCAGGATCAGCTATAAATCCCTATCTGTTCTTGGGTGCTTCGGCAGCATGCCCAAGTTTGCTGACATGGAATGTGTGGGACAGCCCTTATTGGTGGTTATGGGATGTTAAAAAGCAGTCAGGTGTCAGCATTAGGTTCAACCAACAGAGGATATGTTGGTTGTAGTTTCATTAGGTGTGAGCTTCAAAATATTGTGAGTTCAAACACAGTTCTATTTCTCCCTTTCCTCAGCCCCAATATTTGAGAGAAATGTGTCAGATACATGTAGATATGGCAAATCCTTTAATGCTCCAATCTTTGATAAAATATTCAGTGGTTGTAGCACCACAATTATTCCTTGCTGTGTTATTTTGAAGTTGGATCTTGTTTTCAAATTTGCAAACTCTTGGTATATTTTGCACACTTGCTGTTGCATTCAGCTCCAGGCTTGCTATACACATCTGAGAACAGGATGCTGGACCAGAGGGGCCTTTCATCTGATCCAGCAGGGCTCTTTGTATGTTCTCATGTTGCTCTCAGCTTTGGTGATGTCGATTTGGGCAACATGAAATAAATACTCCCTTTGTTTCCCCCTTCTGTGTCAAAAATGAACAGGTATTGCATTCCTGCTGCAGAGGAGAAAAAACTTGACAAAGTGGTACACACCCTGCTGCAAGCCAATGGCACTCCAGGGCTGGAAATGCTTGAAAGTAACGTCATGGTGAGTCGCTTTATGTTTTCTTACTAGGCAGTTTCTTTTGCGGTGTCATGAATAGCAATACATTTTATTGTGTAAGCCAGGGGTAGATTTCCTTTCTAGATCCAAGGGCCAAACCTTGGTTAACCATCTGGGAACTGCATGCCACTGGTAGATGTCCACACACAATCCTTTCCCGCTGCCAAACGCACAAGGGCAAACACAGGCACACAGCTCCCCCTCAACTGACCTATGTGTATTAAGGGTGGAGATGGAGGATTATTGTCCAGCTTTGATTTATTTTCTTACTGCTGTCACTGGTGAAATTGGTAGGAGCTTCCGGCCAGAGTGGAAGCTCAGATTTATTGTTTAAGCAATACTTAGAGGGACGGATGTGGATTCATATGTTCTTAAAGGGGATAACCCAGTCCTATATGACACAAGGAGATATGCCTCCCCACCCCAAGGCTCCTTGGTCCTGCTGAGGTTTGTTTCCCTTTAAGCCAAGCTTAAGAGTTGGTTGGTTTTACGTAGTTGGCAGCAGAAGGATCTGCTCTGGGGTTTGTTTCTGTAGAAGCATTTAGAGATTCAATATGACTTTTGCATGTTCTCCATGGCAAGTAATAAGAGGTAAACAAATGGAGCTGCCAAGAAAGGCACCCGCTCTAGATTTCCCCTGCTTCTTTCTCTCTCCCTAGATCTCCCCAGAGGTGCTGTGTAAAGAGGGGATCAAGGTGCACCGTACTGTACAGCAGAGCGGGCAGTTTGTTGTCTGCTTCCCAGGATCTTTTGTGTCTAAAGTGTGCTGCGGCTACAACGTTTCTGAAACTGTGCACTTTGCTACCACCCAGTGGACAAGCATGGGTTTTAAAACTGCCAAGGTAGGAGCTTGTGTTCTTAAAAACCCACCTCTGCAAACAGATCACCTCTGGTCACAGGGTGTGTAGTGCTGCTTGATGCATTCATTAAACCTTTTGGGATATGGGTGGGGTTTTTTTCATACATAAAGCATCTAGACTTTGCCTTTTACCACTCAGAACTTGAGAAATCTCCATTTCAATGAAGACTGCATGGACTGTGTCACATATAACCATTCATAGGACATGTCCTGACTCAACTGTGATGTGCATCAGTAACTCCTTTTATGTATGACTCGTTGGTTGAATTTGTTGCTAGGACAGCAGCAACCATGCCTACTAGGACCAGTTGGGTTGTGTTTTGCAGGAGGAAGTCTTGGGGAGGTGAGTTGCACTTTGCATTTACTTGCACTTGTGCCCAGGGCTTAATTGAGAAGTTAAGGGACAGCAGGAATTGCATACTGACACCTGGAGAGCCAATATGAAGTGACTGACATCGCTCAGGAAAATGTTGTTTTTCACACATACACTCTTTTGGTCAGGAAATCCTTGTCCCCAAGGATGATGCGTTAATGGGGTATGTTCATTTTTCTTTCCAAAACAAGTTATTTCATTGTATGTGAACTAACACTCTGGAATTTGTCAACGCAGGAGATGAAGCAACGACGTATACCCAAGCCATTTTCAATGGAAAAGCTGCTCTATCAGATCGCAACAGCAGAAGCAAAGAAAGAAAATGGGTCTTCTCTTAGTACAATATCGGCACTTCTAGGAGAGCTCAGGTAGCTAGATTCTCTTTTGTTTTATCCTACTTGCTTCCAGAGTAGCTCTCGCGGAAAGTATAGAGAGTGTTGTGAGACGTCCAAGAGCATTTCTGGCAGCTGCTGAGCCAGCCAACCTGCTTGAACACTGCCACACATGGGAGAAGAAACTTCCATGGATGGTTTGCTGTCAAAGCACTAGAGGACAGAGCAAAGTACTCCATACTACTAGCATTAGGTGATGACTTTTTTCTCACCAAACAAATGAATCCATGTTTCCCAAGTGTGCCTAATAACGTCAAGAGTTTTAAAATCACTGGCTAAGCCAGGAGTTCCTGTGCTTTCGGAAGCAGACCGTGTAATCTGTCTGTAGCATGAGGACAACTACACACCTTTTCTAAAGACACTGAAAGACCTGTTTTTAAATGCTCCCCAACCCCTGTCCAAGGCAGGTTTGAAAAGCAGGGAAAGCTGCCATGTTTCATATGTAATGCTGTTCTCTTTTATTCTCCTACTATGTAGCACTGCTACCCACAACAAGTGTGAGACAGCTGGGTAGTGCTGGTCGGTAACATCTCGAATAGATCAAGAGAAAATCTGATGGCTGGAATCTACAAATTGTATTTAACAAAATTACTGTGTTAATGTGCAAAGAATGGTTAGAGTCTTCTCCACTATATGTCTGCCCTCTAAGTGGAAGACTTTTGAGGCTCTGCATGGAGCTTCTTCCTTTTTGGAGAGTTGATATGCACTTTTCCCTTTAACAAAGGAAAATTTGCAAATATCGAAAGAGCTGGTATTTTTACATCCATCCATCCATCCAAGTGGTTCTCAAGCTTGTTCACATTTAGGTTGCTTCTTTTAAGAGGGAGATCTTCCAAAGGATATTTCTCCTTCTAAAGCCTGATCTTTGCTGCTGGAATAACTATGTTTTTTAACTGCAAATGTCAGCCTACTCTTTCTATTTTTCCTTTACTTGATATGTGGTACCACCTTTTCCTTTCCTGAGCTCAGTTCTCATTTACTCACTGCTTTGGTACATGATGTTCCATCTCTCTTCCTGTCTGCTCAATGTTTTGCTCAGTTCCCTTTTAAGTGTCATAGCAAGTCAAGTCTTGCCAACTGAGGGAGGGCCTACCGTAGGACAATGTTTTTGTCCCACTTCTATCTCCTCCTGTTTCCCTCCTTGGCTATTGGGTATGTTTAGCCGGGAGAGAAGATTGTTAAGGAGAGACATGGCAGCAGTCTTCAAATTTCTGAAGGGTTGTCATATGGAAGATGAAGAAGGCTTGTTCTCTGCTGTATCAGAGGGCAGGACTAGAACCAGTGGGTGGAAATGGTGGTGCAACAGATTTGGGCTAAACATTGGAAGAAACTTTCTAATGTGTAGAGCTGTTCAACAAAGGAAGAGACTGTTTTGGTAGGTGACGGGCTCTCCTTCACTGAAAGTTTCTAAGCAGAGGCTAGATAGCCATCTGTCAGGGATTCTGGAGTTGCATCCTGGATTGTTGATCCTGCATTGAGCAGGGTGTTAGACGAGATGACGTTCCAAGTCCCTTCCAACTCAATAATTCTTTTTTTCTACAGCGAGTGGGGCTGCTTAAAATGGTGCTTGGTCTCCATAGGTAGTAATATCTCCTGGCAAATCACTTGGCAGCCATGTTTGCCAAATAATTTGATCTGGCCCAAGGTTTTTCTGTATCAGATTCTCTGTCTGGAAAACTCCCAATCTGTATACAGTGGTCAGACAAAACCTTAGATGGGATTTAGCTCATCATAGCATGGCAATTGTTATTAAAATCTCAGGCCTACGTTGAACTGTTGCCTGCTGCTTCATGGCGTTCCTATGAGAGGTTGCTGTTTTCTAATTATTCCTCATGTCCACAGGGAGACAGAGCTGAGGCAGCGGCGGCAGCTGTATGAGGCAGGCCTCCATTCGTCAGCTCGCTATGGGAGCCATGATAGCAGCAGCAGTTCGGGAGTGGATGGGAAGAAAAAGCCTCGAAAGTGGCAGCTAGAGACGTCTGAGAGGAGGTGTCAGATTTGCCAGCACCTGTGTTACCTATCTATGGTATGGAAAATCCCTAGAAGCTGGGAGTTCTCACTATGTTCTCTCCCCGCCCCCCCCCCCAAAATATATCTCAATTACTGCAGTGCTAAAAGGCCAAAATGCATTTGGCCAAAGCAGTGTATGTATTTCAATAAAATATAGGTTGAAATCTCTTGTGAAGCACTGGTGTGTAGGAGACTCAGGATAGTTGAAGGTTAAGGAACATTAGTGTTAGTGCTTTTTAAGCAATATTGGACTGAAACATAAAACAGGAGAACTAAAAGCTTGATGATTTGTTTTGAAATTTTTATTGTCATTTCATAGTTTTCAAATCTTATTCTGACGCCTGTCAAGGAAACTTGACATGCTCTAGAGAATTTCTGAATATGTTCCAGGATGTACCATTCAGTTCAAGTGAGGTCAGCTGTGCTTCATTTCATCAGTTCAAAGAGGACAACAACTGATGTACAAAATATGCCAGATTCTCCAGCAGTCTGCACATTGCACTGGATGATTGACAGTGGTGGGCAGGGGCTCTTCCAGAGAAGATTCTCTGGTATTTTCTCATGGGAGAACTCCAGAATTACCTGGAACACCATTTGAAAATTGCTATTGTACTACAGTATGCCAGTTGTAAGCAGAAGCTGGTGATTTTTCACTTAAAAGAATGTATGCCTCACTTCAGCTGTCTTCAGATACTCACTTTGGGGCCTGCAGGAACCTGCGGGCTTACCTCCATTCCCTTGTGAGATCACGCATGCCGGCAGTATTCCAAATCCAACATGCAGTGTGCTGAGTCTGAAGGAGGCTACTTCCACCCCATGTAGGAAATCCTATGCACAATGAAAGTGTCTTCCTTCTGATTCAGTCAATCACAAGTCAAATCAAGAGTCATGTCATTGAGGGGGAGGAGCTAGAGCCACACTTTCCACAGGCCCCTTCGCATATTCAGAATAAGTGAAGAGGGTTTTCTGGTTTTCAAGATTTGTCAAGGAGGTAGTTCAAACTGTTCAGTAAAAGGGAGCCTATTACTAGAAGAACTTGAATAATAAACTATAAGATTTCTCATTGCAGACCAGCAAGAGGTTGCAGAAAATAGTGCAATTTTAGGTCATAAAAGCTCTCTTTAGAATTTAGTACCAAAATAATAATTGGCTTATGGGACTAATAAATTAAAATCATGACTGAAAATGCATTTTCCTGACACAGTATAAAAGCTTTTCTACCATTTCAAGCCCAAGGTAGCACTAATATGAAGGCCACTTTTGAATGTCAGCGTGGGATAAGCCATTTATGTAGAATTACTCATTTACAAATAGAGTGGTTTTCTGCACACCACTGCAAACTACCAATACATCTCTGCAGTGGCAGAGAGAAAATGTGCCGTCAGTGAACCATGCCACATACCCATCTTGCCAGATGGTAGCATCTGCCACATGAACAGTGTTGCCTTGATGTTTACATCATTCCTTAGCCTCTATGGAAGAAAAAGTTCACCTTGGCTCAGTTTTGCTTGGAAGAGCTTAAGAATTGCAAAGTTTAGTTTCTAATTCTGTTGCTCATTGGGATTTGATTCTAAATAGGTGTGTCCATAAACACTAACAAAGTGATTGGACATATATCAATTAATGATCTCACCATGGTTATTACATTTGCCACACCAACAGTAGTAACGAGTGGTTTCAACGTTTGAATTTTAAAAGTGAATTCACCCACAGGCTTAACAAACAGGGATCACAGTTGTGTGAGACTTCCAGGTTAAGCTTCGATATAGAATCAGGCTGTTCAGGAAATACTGATCTGTGGGTTATTAATGCTCTTGACCTTTTAAAAAATGTTTGCAGGTTGTACAGGAAAACGAAAACGTTGTCTTCTGCCTCGAATGTGCCCTGCGACACGTAGAAAAACAGAAGTCTTGCCGAGGACTAAAACTAATGTATCGCTATGATGAGGTTTGTATAATAACTAATAGCTCATAGGTTGGAAAAGTTTACATTTTTGAAAATTGAAATTTGATCTTACAAATAATTTCAGGTATATTGGAAACCTGCTTTTTGAGTTTCAGTTTTATGGGCACTTTATTCTTGCATTTAAAAGGCATCCTTAAACATGCAGTTTTTGTCCTGTATTCCATCATTATATGAAGTCTAGTAGGTATGTAGAAATTTCAATAACGTGGTTTGAAATAGTTATAAATATATCCTTTTTTAAAAAAGCAAAGTAAATGTTAACCATACACACAAGGTTTAAGTGAGGACTTTTTGTCATTAGCAGAATGCAAATAATCTGTGGTTCAGCATATATGAATGAGCTCTGGGTTCATGTGTTCTCCCTTATTTCTATTTTAGATTAGTTTGAACAGCATGTCAAATTGTGATTAAACAGGGTGGATTGTTTTTTTAAAAAAGCCAAACTTCATAAAGCACTGATTCAACAAGTTAGTTAAACAGAATTGTTCCATTCCTCATAGTTGTGCTGGACGATGTGAGAGGAGTGTTATATCTAGTGCGTGGCCATTGTTGGAGCTTATTTGCCACATTCTATTAAGGCTTCTGCTATCTAAACTCATTTTTCTTTTCCTTCTGAAATAGGAACAAATTATCAGTTTAGTCAATCAAATCTGTGGAAAAGTATCTGGCAAAAATGGCACCATTGAGAACTCTATCAGCAAGCCTACACCAAAAAGAGGACCTCGGAAGAGAGCAACAGTCGACGTGCCATCATCAAGACTTTCATCCTCCAGTTCATCCAAAAGTGCTTCAAGTTAATCATGAAGATGCCAACACACACTCTCATTTTTGTCAATTTTATATATATTTTTTGTAATTATTATATCATAGTTTGGAGTACTTGCTGTAGAATACAAGCTGTCTTTGCACTAGCTCTAAAGAAGATTTTCTTCTGGTTTTAGAGAACTAATTTTGTTTTAGCATTAAACTGTTGAATTTTATTTTATTTTTATTTTTTACTTAGGGTAGTTAGATTACAGCAGGATTTTTTTTAACTGCTGTACATTCAGTTTTGAAAGCAGCAAGGGGCTGATGAAATTCATTTGTATTTGTCCCTCTGTCTGAAGCTACAAAGCCTTTTTTTCTTTTTTTGGTAACTGTGAAAAGGCTTTTAAACTCTTTTTTTGATAAGTTGAAGTTTGGCGTTTTATAATTTGTTCTCCAAGTCATGTCAACAGATTTTTTTCTAGAGAGAAAAGGGATAGGAGACAAAACTTGAAAGAAATTGCTATACTTTTGGCTTGTATTCTGTAACAGGCAGGATGAGTTTTGTACCTTTTTAAATTGGAGAATACACACTTTTCTTTGAGAGGTTATGGCAGCTGAAGATGGACTTAGTTTTCTAACTGTAGGCAAAATGGGAGATTTGGAGAAATTGTTCTCTGTTACCAGCACTTCACTATGCATCTGTTCGAGGAGGAGAAGAAAGAGAAGAAAAAGACTGCCTGCCTTGAGGAGTCATGTGAGCGAAAACTGTGCCTGATTTCATTAGGAAATCCATTCTGTTATGTTTTGGTGCTGTTGGCTACTTTATCAAAAACCCTTCAATAGCATCCTTTTAAAATGATTGAAGCCATAAGTGCTTCTTGTCATAGACGTGCAATCTTTAACATTCCATTTCCATTCCACTGCTGTTTTTCATACCTTTTCACAGTCAGCATTAATTTTGTTTTGAATTTTGTTTTGTTGTTTGATCACATTTAGAGCCACTAGCAGATTTGCATATTTCTTTTGAATGTGAAAAATGCATTTGCTCTCATCTTGTCTATTTTTTTCCTTCATGTTGTAACAAAAAAGAAATCATACCTTTTGTACATAAGCCTGTAAATTGTTTTAAATACTTGAGCCTTTTCTTGGGAGGGTGGGGAAGGGTGGCAAAGAGACAAGATGAAGAAAAGCCTTACGTTTCACTTTCTTCATCGGATGGATTTGGATGCTTACAGGGTTTTTCTTGTAACATTTATAAGTGCTGCTTACATCACTGAACAACAACAAAAATAATAATGGAGTAGTTGTTGCCCTTTTCCAGTTGTGTGTACAGTATGTGTGGAATAAAAAAGGGAAAATGTTTTCACAAACTCTTTTGTTTCATAATTGAATTCAAGACCGTAGAGCTACCCATATTGCACTGAGCTTGCCAGTGGTGACTGTCAGGAAAAGTCTTATAAAATACATATTGTCGGTTGTTGCAGAAGACGAATTGTTTTGGAATATTTAACAATAACATACAGAGTCGAGTGTTTTCCAATGTGGTTGTCCGGTTTTTATGGCCTTGCTGTGTACTTTTTCCTTCTTGACAGTAAACTTCTGACTATGGCTTACAGTTTGACATTTAATTTATTAGCGCTGCTCTGCTCTCTTTCCTTGTAAGGAAAGACTTCATGTTTATTGCCAGTTTTGTTTACTTTTCAGGTTTGTAATACAAGGTTTAATAAAAAAACCACACTTTTTGGACACTTTGTCTTTCTTCTGAAAGAGCAGTAGAGATTAAACTTCAAAAGTGAGGACCATTCTTGTTAGGAAAGATGCAACACATATAGCAGATATTCCCAACTTTCATTTATAGGTACATTATTCCACCGAACTCAAAGAGAAATGGGCTTCTGAGACTTATTTCGAGTAGTCAGCTATTTGGGAATAGCTGCTCATTTAGAACATGCCCATAATCTCTTACATAGGGATAGCACAAGCGTGTTGGCCTGATGCTGTGTGCTACAGGTAGGAAGTAGAAAGCTTCAACAGTCTTAAAGTTAGAATAGTGCACTTCATCAGTCTTTCGGTATCTATTGTGAAGTGAACAAAGCAGCATGCTTCTACATCCCTTATCACAAATGAGGCTTATCCCACTAAATGTAGGACAAAGCAACAACAGGACAGGAGCATGGAATCAAAGTTCACATACTTTTTCAACTATTCAAGTAGTTGCTGATCTTTTTCTGCTCGTTATTTATAGGTATGTAAAACATCAGTAAGAAAGCATATAGATTTGTTTCTTACATCTGGAAGGTCACATAATTGGAGGCTATTCTTCTGGCTAAACAACAAACATTTACCGGTCTTTAGCCACAACAATTAAGACATGCACACTGGGACAACAAACATGGCTTCTGTGTTATGTTCCTATGGAGGATTTTAAAAGGAACCCTTACAACAACTTGTTCATTGGATAACCCTTTATATACAAGTTTTACTGTTCCAAAGCCAACACTTTATTGCTAATGGTGTGCTTCAAGAAATTTTTAATAAAAATCAGTATTTTCATGACTGTCAAACTCAAGTTTTATATATGGTAATATTTTTCATGATAAGATCGGAGTAACAAAAGCAAGCTCAAAATACTTCTTTACTCACTCATTCATTCCAGGGTCCTAATTCCTTTAGAGCACCATGATAACTCAATTTGTTTGCGAATCACTCTCATCACTAACATCAGAAGGGCCTTTCATTTCAGTATTTACAGCAACAAGGGCAGTGTCTACTTGCACATCTTCCTCATCGGACTGGATCACAGGCGATTCCCCTTCACTGGCATCTTGGCTGGCAGAATCAGTCCAGGCTGAAGTTGAGGACAACTCTCTCAACGCTGACTGGGTGGGAACTTGAAGACTGATTTCATTTTGACCAGTACTGTTGTCTGATCCTTCAAAATAACAAGAGAAGTCAGTGAGCTAGGCTTATTCATTTGTTAGAAACCCATTATATTACAACAATTGGGAGACTATATGCTTTAGGTGTTTTGTACAAAATAGCTGAGAGAAAGTAAGAAAGCATTTGAATACGTGCTCCAGAAATGGCACTGAGTTTCTCAGGGTGAAAAAGAAAGTGAAGAATAGTTGCATACTAAAGCATAAAAAGCTGTGTGCACCACTCCTTGTAATGCCTGACTAATAATCCAGAATAAATGGAGCACATAAACCTCAGTCTAAGACATAAGATGTCAGGAAAGTAGCCACAATAAGAATCTCTGTTTTATGAAAGTATCCTTGAACTAAGGCTCTAGTTCAAATTAAGCCTCCAATTTTTTGTGAAATGAAAGATGTGGGCTTCTTGCTGAATCCTGCATCTTAGTGAACCTGGCTGGTGATATGTATATTTGTTCAGAAAACAAATGGGAAATGTGATTGAAATCAACAATTTATGGTAGATCTTTTTTATTGGTGATTTAAATCACCTAAATTTAATACGTATCCACCCTGCTTAAAAACATCAATAAGTACTATTTCTTTTTATGCCAGTGCAACCAGATCAAGAATGCAAGAGTTCATTTTATACCTATCATAGGAGATGACATAGTACTGTCCTCTCCTCCTGAATTAAGGAAGACATCTAAGGCTTCTTGGTCAGACATATCCACAAGGTCCATTTGTTCCAACATGTCCACATTTACTTCCATAGAAGACATGCTTCCAATCGGCTCTGCCATAAGAAAAAGGTAAACAAGTAAACTTGAAAATCTAACCCATATATGATCACTTTTGGAGAAAACTATGGCATGAATTAAGCATGCTGGAAGATAACATTTATGGTTAGTGAATAGGCATCCTTTTACCTTTATTTTTTTAAAAAAATACTTGCACTGGATTTACAGTTTTATTTTCTGAAATTCATGTAATGGAACTACTTCGGACTTCATACCCAAACTCAGGATGATGCAACTTACTTTTTAAAAAAGATTTTATCATTATGAGACAGGTAAGTAAAACTAATCATAACTGCCATTACAAGAAGCTAACATCCCAATCTCAAACTGCTATTAAGAGGTGGCTTAATTTCTCCAGAATTAACCCGGAGACTAACAGAATGTGCTAAGTTGCGATAGAAGCCCCAGAAGTTTCAGGCATTGTAAAAGTCCTTTGTACATGTGTAGGAAATCCTACTGTGACAATGAAGGTGCTGGAAGCAGGGCACCTGAACTGTGGAAGATCAACAGAATCCAGCTGGAAAAGTCTTAAACCATTAAACTTACTTCAGAACATACAGCTTTCATACATCTATACAGTTGCTATACCACAGGCCTTCGGATTCGGCTGTGTTTTCTTCCATACAATTCATCATTGTGGAGGAAAACAGCAAAACTGCAATCTGTCACTTGTTCATGTGGAGCAAGCAACTGCAATATTAGAATTTATCAGCCCTCATCCCACCCACTGGTGCCATGCTATTTCCAGCTGCAGCGCCTCAATCGCAGTCCTGCATATAGGACAGTCCTTTGCCTGCTGTTACATTCTTAGAAGCTAAGTGGGTCTCATTCTGCTCACTGGTTGAAGAAGAGAATGCTCAAACAAGCAAGCCAATATGAACTTATACATGAAAGAACAGGATAGAGATGTACTGAAGGAACTAAAATCCTGCTTCCTATTGGGATCTAGCTTAAAAATTACACAGAACCTTTTCAGTACTTGCCTCGTCTTTCAGTTATTTGCAGATAGCCTGTGGAGAGATACTGTTCCATGTCCTGCTGAAAAGCTTCTTCAAAGAACTTTTGCCGCTCCTTTAGCTTCATTTGCTGGGTATGCTCCATAGCCAACACCTTCTGTGCATGCTCTGCATCAAGCTCAGCTGCAGTAGAGAAATATGCATTAAGCCTGAAAGATTCTCATTTCAGTGTTTTCAGAAGCATTTATGTTTTATGCATCCTGCTTCCCAAGGAAGTAAACTCTGCAAAAAAACTAAACCCAGTTGACAACTCATTTTTAAAGTTATTTCCTTAGGCATTTAAGACTAGTATTTTTTTCCATTAAAAAGAAATACTGAAGAGCACTTGCGTGGCGAGGAGCTTCTGAAGAACACAAATGCACATCCCAATATATTATCTGTCTGTGGCTGTAAGGCAAATGAGTTAAGGACTTCAGAAATTAGGGACAAGCCATTTTGTAGAAAGAGTAAAACTGAGAAGTAAACACACTCTTCTTTGCCATTGTGTTATATAAGCCAGTAGTGTCTGTATTATTTTACGTAGACTAAAAACCACAGAGCGTGTTCCATGTAATGAGCAAATGTTAGTTCTGCTATGATGCAGAAAGGCAATTCTATTGTAATAATAGGCCAGGAGCTATTACTAAGTATAGAAATCTATTTATTTGCCCCTAATATTGCCTGGCAGTTTTGAATTTTAATGGCAACATCCATTTTCTTCTATCCCCGAAATAGACATAGCAGCTAAGCAACAAATGGAATTTATGTAATATTTTACCAAGCCTCTCTCCACTCCCAGTTAGCCTTTTATGTTTAAATTGATAAAGAAGGTTGCTGTCAACTTTGCAAGTCTGTTGTTGTAATCGATTCTATAGATTGGTGCCTATGGCATTTATAGATACATTCTTTCCGAAGTGTGTTACGAGGACACACAGTTCACTTGTGTATTCCCCCAATGTGATCTTTGGAATGTTTTGATTGTTTTATATTGGTTTGTTTTAATGTTGCATCTATAATAAAATATTTTTTAAAAAGCAACTGCTAAAGTGTCAACAGTATCCTAAAATGTAATATACAAAGCCTACACAAACAGTATGTGGGATTTACCTAACTTTACCATTTCAAAAACATTTAAAATGATATTGTGCTATTTACATACATATAACGTAATTATAAAAGTTGCACAACTAAAACAGTATAATAATCATGAGTTGCAAATACCACCAATCAACCAACAAAACCTGCTGCTCACTAACTGAGCAGCCTATGCACAGCCACCACATTTCACAACTACATGAGTAGGAAAGAAATAGTTACATGAAATACTTCATTACTGCAATTTTCTCTCACTGTTTTGTCACCAGATACACCTTTGCCTTGTCTTGGTGTCAAGGAACTCTGAGGAAATTTTCTGGTTTGGTTTTTAGAGTCAGCTTTTTCTTAGTTAATTCTCTGTGGCACACTCATTCAACTTATTCATGTTATATTCTGTCCAGAGTCCTATAGCTGTCTACGTTTCAAGTTGCTGAGGCAACTTCTTCCTTCCCCACATATAAGTCTGCATCATAAAATATGATTATTTAGAATTGCAACACAGCCAGAAATATATGTAGGCTCAGATTGCATATACTGCCTCACTGACACTCCTTTGAATAACACCAGATAATTGTTCATGGACTAACATTATCAAATGGCACTGGGGAAGACAACTACTTTCCACCAATTTTCCAAGGACAGGCTTTCAGCTAATTAGCCTGCAATTTTCAGGATCCTCTGATGAACCCTTTTAAAAAATTGGTGTTAACACTGGTCACTTTCCAGTCCTCCGGTATGGAGGTTTATACTGGGGAGAAGTTACATATTTCCATTAGAATATCAGCAATTTCACAGCCGAGAACTCTCAGGACGATGCCATCCGGAATCAGTTATTATCAGTTTTTATTTTATCTATTAGGCCTAGAATGTCATATTTCATCAATATTTTGCCTCAATTCTTCAGACTACCTTCCTTCACAGGTTAGTGCAGGAATGCAAATAATTTGTTCAGCTTCTCTGCAATTTCCTACTTTAGGACACCTTTGACCCCCTTTCTCATCCAAGGGTCCAAGCCTCCCTAGACTATCTCCTGTTACCAATATATTTAAAGATTTTTTTGTTGTTGGCCTTAGCGTGCTCCTCAAATTCTTTTCTAGTGTCCTGTATTGTCTGCTTTTGCCAAAGTTTGTTCTTCTCATTTGGGCATTTTTTGAGGGAAGCCTTTTTCTAAGAGCTTCCTTGAAAGTGAATCATGCTGCCATCCTGGTGCCTCTGGAGGTACATTCCAATATATAGCATGAACAAGTCTAACCAGTCAGTTCTCTATGTTCTTTGCGTATTAAATCTTTTCTATAGGTTAAAATGAGAAGTGTCGAGCTGAATCAGTATTGCCAAATATTTTCTCCATTAATTTTCTTCCAATATCCTTCTGCACAGAGGTGTGTCTACCACATATGGCAGAGATCTCCTCATTTTAAAAAAATGTTTCCAGCAAATAAAAATGCAGTTACTGGTTTTACTCATGGTTACTAAAGTAACATACCATCTAGTTGCCATTTTATATCAATTTCCCATTCTGTTCACAAATATTCCAAAAGCTCCTACTTGGATATTATCTCCTACATCTTGCGCCTATCTAATCTTCAAGTCTGCAGCTTATTCCATTTCACACTCCATTTTTAATAGAATTGTACACATTTTAGACAGTAACAGTGAAATCCTGTATATGCCTAGTCAGAAGCAAGTCCCATTGAGTTCCATGGGGTTTATTTCCAAGTAAGTGTGCAAAGGACTGCAGCCTCTGGGTGAATTCCAACTGTGGCCACCACTGGTGTAACAGAACTTCCTATGCTCCCCTCTGCAGCTACCCCACCATGCACCAAAGTCTGCTCCAAAGACTTGGAAGACTCTTCAGAGTAAATTGTGGGAGGGGAGGGAATGGAGAGGAAAAATATTGTTGTATGAGCAGAAGTCCACTCCTGTAATTTTGAATATCACTCTAAATGGTTTTTTCATATTACCACTGTTTCCCATACTGTGTCTTTTTTTCAAATGATTGAGAAAATCATCTGATATAAGAACTCTACGTTTAAAGTACTTAAATTATTGTAAGATATTTTACCAAATGCATTTTTACCCTGCTCTTCAGCCAAAAATGTTCCCAGAGCTACTTACAGAACAATAAAAATCAAAAAGGTCCCTGTACTCAGGCATATAATCTAACAGACAGAACACAAAAAAGGGGGAAAGATGAGGGAGGAAGCAGCAAACCTAGCACCAGTTCTTAACACAACAGAGTTCTTATGTAATGACCAACGTGGATAGGAACTGCATAGCTGCAAGAAGAGCCAAAAGGATATGCTCTCTTAGCACTGCCGATGAAAGCTCACATCTATTTTTAATTTCATTACAACTTAGCACCCTCTTGTATATTATTAGATATTTATATCTGTTTGTATCTCTCTGCCAATGATATCTAACTGAGCTTGTTTTTAATGGTGAGTGCAACAGTTTCAGTTAAACAGACAAAATTAAGAATCTGGACAATTGCCGCCATTAGTTGTCTGACAGAAGAGAAGACCAAGAAAGCATGATGCTAGAAAGCAGCCATACAAGAATTAGCAGCCAAGCAAAAGGATCATCCCAACCCAATTTCCCCTGATTCTCTGAATATTTAAAATAAAATAGGACACGCTGTAGCAGATGCATTATTGCTTTTCAGTAGTTAATCCCATTTTTTCATCTGTACAGAGGTGAAACAGTTCTGCTTTTTTAAGTGCACCATGATCTTTCTTCTATAGAATTTCCTTTACACACAGAGAGTGGACTTGTCACTGTCCCGTGATTTGATCCTACTATAAATAGGAATGCGTTTGCAATAGCAGGGTACTGATCAGGCAGAAAAGATCCATGCAAGTGTGTGCATTAAGAACCAGACAGGAACTTGATTCCTCATTAATTAAGCTTTCCCTGACCAGTAAGAATGGGCTGTTTTGTGTGTCTGAATTCCTGAAGGTATTGTGGTGTTTTTAATATGCTTTTATACTACAGTTTTATTAGTTTTATGTTGTATTTTTCTTTTAACAATATGGTATATTTTATATTGTACACCACCTAGGTTTTTAAAAAAATAAGCACTTTATAAACACTTTTAAACAAGCAAATTGAGAAAACAAAACTCCACACAATTACTCTCACTTATGTAGTTGCCTAATTCAATAATTCAGGTGACTGAGAAATGGGCTCATACTACAACCTCAATAGTGAGTAGGCTGAGCAAGCTGTGTGTTATGACAAACTTGTTGTATACTAAGAGACAACTTGAACATATTGAGCATCATATGAAACAGCTGCCATCTCACAACTACAGTTACAACCTTGGGAAATGTTTTAACACCTAGCAGGTTTCTTTGATGCATAACGATCTGCACTGCCCATCCAAAATTGACTGTTCAATCATTTTAAGCACAGAAAAATAAACTATGCAGCATACATATTTAAACCATTCTCCTTCCACCAAGCCCCATGACTGGGCTGTTTGTTCTGCTCTAGAAATGCACATTAGCAGTTGGGCTGAACTCCTGCTGATTCAGGGAATCATTTTCATACAAAACTGAACTGTTCTGTTCTGTGGCAAGTTGCAATGAAGCAAAAATATCTTGATTAAGTGAGCAGGTATTGGTGGTACAGCAATTGAAACAGCACAGGCAGCTATACACATTAAAAAAGACTAATGTGTAAGAATGTCATTAAGGCCTTTTGCCCAAAGCACAATGAACTGCTTGCTTGTTTGGTGGTGGAAGGTAAAGACAAGTTGATTATTTAGCTGAAGCTGTACAAGTAATAAATGCAAGTATGCTGTCAAAATTTTGGTGCAGGTATGAACAAACAATTCTCCAAGATTGTTCTTCAATCTCACTTCATTTGTTTATGACATCTGTATGCCACCCCTTAATATAAAGTTCTCTCAGTGGTTTCATTCTCATGCCTTTTCATGGAGAGAGTCATCAATCATTAGAAAGATAATAAGAACAAGACCAACTGATACTCTGTTCCAGCACTGCCTAGACAGTATGTTAGGCAGTTGTCTCTTTTGAAGCAAACCGTCTTCTGTCAACCAGCAATCAGGTACAATTAATGTCCCTAAGGTCAGTGCTGCCAGGCTGCAATCTGGCAATCTTACTCAGCAGGCAATCGCACTCAATTTCCTCTTCCATGTATATTTAAAGAAAGCTTTCCTCCTTAACAAATTTTACTCTCTCCGACATGAAAATAGTTGCTCATTCCCATTCTCCAAGCAAGCAATTTCATCTAAACACAACTTCCCTGTGTGAGTTCTCTCAACATGTCACTATAACCTTTATTAAGCTTATCTGGGGACAATGGAAGGTCCTGCAACATGGGCATAGCCAAGGGGGGTAGGGGAGCAGCTGCACCCCCAGATCAAGTAACTCAATCGAAATACTTAACTAATTGACCAATAATGTCAGTTCTGCTCCCCTAACGAAGTCCGGCCACCCCCCTAAAAAAAATCCTGGCCATGCCCAAGTCCTCCAACTTCGTATATAGGGAAATTCCTTGCACACAGACTGTAAACCTTACTAATTGAACTTCTATGTAGCATCAATGGGCTACATCAGTTTAAGTCAGGAGGCAGATGAAATTTACCTGCTTCAACTCCAAACATTGTTTGAATGAGAATTATAGAGTTTTTAGCGGGAATCATCCAAAATAATTACAACATGATAGCACTGAACCATACCCAACCAAAAACACTAATATTTATAGCCATCCTATTTCTTGAACACAACACACAAAACACAAAGTTCAAACTCAAAATTGCTTTTCAACACAACACAGCTTTTCCCATGAAACTAACTGTAACAAAATAGCAAGCACTATTTCCACATGAAAGCAGTCATGACTCACAACACATCTGTGAAAGTTACCCTCTGTAACATTACTGTTCAAGATATGAAACAATGCAATTGCAAAGAAGTTCTCCTTGTAGTAAACATACTACTTTTAGGTAGTTCCCTACACACCTATTTACAAAATGTTTTACGTTGCTGCAGACCACCAGAATCAATACCACCAGTGAGCACATCTAGATACTTTACTTTGCTTTGTAAAAGCAGCTGGAGGAAACCCATCATTCCTAATGCACTACTGGAAATATTACTCTAGTCAAGCGGAAACAAAGCAGTCAAGAACTAAAGATACTAAAAAAATGTAGAAAGTGCAGAGATAAAAAAAAGCATCTAGGGAAAGATATTAAATTCAATACATTTAACTTTAAAGTATCAAAGCTCATATGTACTTTAGATATACTGGTAGTTTAATAATCCAGTGCTATATTTAAAATTTGAGACATTTCCATGTGTTCTGTCTTTGTTTTTGCAGGATGGGGACAAAAAATATCACAACTTTAAAGTCTACATTAAGACGCAGCTGGTCTACAAATTTATGTTTCAGCAGCTGCTCTGTGCTCCCAGTGACCTCACGGATATTTTGTATTGTTCATCCAAACGACAAAAGGTATTGTGTAATACTAGGAAAACCTGCAGTTCCTAGAATTTGAGACTTCCTTCCCCCACATTAAAATATATCTTCTATTTTATTGAACTGAAATTGAATCTTTTTTTAAAAAAAGAATACAACTAAAGGCTCTGTGGTAAATGTAGATGGGCTCCAATCTTCTAGGCTTCTGCATCAAAACAGTCTGACAGGTGCTATGGTGTCAGTTAGAGGGAGTGGGCAGAACACAAGGGAACAACTTCAGTCAGAATTACTCACAGGACATCTCCCACTTGATTTTTTTCCAGTTGGTTGTAATTCTGCACAGCAATAGCTATGAACTGAACTTGGCCACTGGTTAATAGGATTGGAATCAAACTGTTGTTGAGTTCTTGCAATGGGGGGGGGGGGGCTTCTTCATAAATGTTTTGAAGAACCATTGTATGGTGTTAAATGTCTTTATCATACTGGTTCATGTGGGATAACCAGCCCTATATAACAAACATGCTTAAGTCTAATTAATGCATAAAGGGTTTAATACCAGTAAACTGTCCTGTCAAGCTTAGCTAAGTCAATTCAATCAAGACTATTATTGTTCTTCTCCAATCTACCTGGGAGGTTCAGCGTGTGAAGAGGTTTGAGCTGGTTGCTCAAGCTCAACCGCATGGCTCTCACAATCCGCTCCTGAGTTCCTATAAACAATAATTTAAGAACTTTCACCACTTTGGAACTAAACTAAGTTTTATTGCCTGTGGAACTTTTCTGAATGCTGGATTGAAAAGCACATGAATCAGACCTTTGGAGAGTTTGTAAGTAAACCATTATTATCTTCCCAGACATGGTATTCTTCTGTGCTAGGGGCAGAAGGAAACTTTGGAAAGCAACATTTTAACGGGACATTTTGGAACTCACTTGGAGGGGCATAGTTTAAAGGTCTAACCACCCTATATTTCCACGCTGTTGCATATTCTGTGACTTTAAATCTTTAAATTCATATGTTCGTACATTAAGCAAAGACTATGGAACAAGCAGAATGGTACACTTGCAACCCTAAAGATGACAGGATCTAATGCTACTACCTCAATGGATTTGACTACCTGGAAAATCATCAACTGACAACAGCCTCTTTCTTGGGCCAGTTTGCTCCCAGTCAGCTGCATAGTAACTGCTATGATTTTCTGTTTCCTATCATCTGTTTATTAAAATGTTTCAACAGTTTTTAACAACTGCATTTTCTCCCTAAGTCTCTCCCAGGTCCTATTGTTGAGGTACAAATTTAATTACTGTGATGCATTACAACCTCCCCAGAGCTTTCAAAATGATTTTGTACATGTCTTTCCATCACTCCCTCTAGTGCTGCTACTGCCACCACAACCAATGAAAATCTACAAATCTACAAAATCCCAAGTTTTTGAATATATTTTTCTAAAAAGAAGCAAAAAGACTCTTGGCAGAGCTGTCATTAAAGCCATTTAAGTCTGCAATAATGTTTCACTATCCTTAAACTGTCGCGGCCATTAAAGCGAGATGAGCACTGCAACCCCAGAGTCGTCCGCGACTGGACTGAATGGTCAGGGGTCCCTTTACCTTTAAACTTTAAACTACATCAGTTATTCAACAACAAAAAGTACATAAATTATCTATTTGCCAACATATTGCTTTCTGGAATGATATTTTTGAACTAGATAGCATTTGAACTAGATAGCATTAGCTGAGGCAAGAACACACACACAAATTCTAAGCTGCATCTGTACACCTATTTTGCCTTAGGGTATACAGTGTACCATATGTCATAGCATAAAGAAGCCACAATCACAGCTGCTTCTTAGCAGTGATATAAACCCTTTCCACATTTCTTACTGACCTATGTCCAGTTCTATGCCCTCACTTTTCTCAGAATCATCTAGATTAAATGGATTTTGTAAATACTGATATCATGAGCATTGGTATTTTCCTTCATTGATGATTCCTTGTTATTTATCATTTCAAGAGTTTGTAGACTGCAAGGACTTTGGGCTGCAATTGATAATTGACCACACAAATGGCAACGAAAACAAAAATATAGTGGATTAAGAGTTCAGGTGTAAGTTTCTCTCTGACTGCATGGAAAACAGAGATAAAGCAGAAGATAGGCTACATCTTAGGCACTCTCCTGTAAAAGGCATCAACTTGCAAAAGAATCAGCCAGCCATGAGATTTCTAAGCTTTACCCTACTGACTCATAACAAACACATTCATCTAGCTACTATTCAGCAGCACTCCATTCTGTCAAAGAACTGCAAGTTCTTTCCTAATCAATACAAACAAGCCTTGCACAATCTTGTTAAGATGGGGTTTTCTCCACAGTCCATTTGAAAAGATGATCTGTCTGTAAAATCTGTAAAGAATAGTCATTAAAGTCAACTAAAAATGTCAACCTACACTTTCCAAGTCCGCATTTATAAGCTATCTTACTGTGAGAAGTGTTACTGTGAAACAAACCTGTCTCCTAAGCAGTGTCTGTTAAATGTGAGTGTTAGTAAGATTTTAGCTGTCTTCCACATGTTTCTCATTCCCCTTCTTTTTCCCTTCTGTTAAAATACCTTAATACATAAATTCCCTTCAGCATTTGGGTACCTCTAGTGAACTGGGCTACAACCCCAAGCACTCTTATTAGGGAGCAAGCTCAATAGACATATTTTGGATGTTGCTGTTGATCATTCCTCTGACATCCCCTTCAGTCACAGTCATAACAGACAACAAAGAATACCCTTTAGTATTCTTATGTTGTAGTAGTTTAACTTAAGGCAATGAACACATCCATGCAAGTGGCTATGCTGAAGAGGCACCCCTCTACCCTAGCTTTTGACATCTGAGATATGTTTTCTCATGACCCAACCTATTCATGTGACTGCAATTTGTTTTAACTGTTTTTATTATTGAATTTTAAATTGTTGTAACCTGCTCTGGGACCTGCTGATGAAAAGGAGACAATAAATTGAATCATCATCACCATCCTATAAAGAAACGATGGAAGTCACTCACATTGTGTTAGTTGCAAATTAATTTTTGAGGCTCTTTGGTTCTATTAAAAATCATTTCTAGCCATGTTGCAGAAAGAAATTAGAGTATGTGTTCACAAAACTCAAGTAATCATTTGGAAGATCAAATTTACTCATTTTCACGAATTCATTATGTTTCACTAATTTTAAGAGTCTGGTGTTAAGTTTTCACATTTATGGCTAATGATTCCATAGCACTCATCACAGAATACTCATATACAATACAAGTGATGTCAACTCCAGGAAATAAAATTAAATTTAACCATGGCCCTCTGGGTCAAGGTGCATTACCAACACAACCTCCTGTTCTTAACAATTTGTACATTCCTACTGTCACCCTCATCAGGCAGATGAGAGAAATAAGAACCCATTTCTGAAGAACACTAGGCTTTACTATCAGTAATGGGACAGAATACACTTTTTTAAATGGCGCACTTTATGAGAAGAATTAAAGCAAGCTATTATTAACATAAATATAATTTGAGTTAACAAAAAGCTTTCCAGCGAAACCAGAACTAAAGAAACATAAAAGATGTATAGGTGATGATCTGTCAACATACTAAAGATTCTCTTTGAGAAACTTACTTTCCTATTTCAGTTAAACCTCACCTGGTTATCTGCATCCAATTCACTTATTGTAAAACTAGCATTTCAGTTTTTTAGAATAAGATACTGTAATAATAAGATGTACACAGCTACATTTGTATTTATAATTAATTTCACCAGAAAAAAAATTCTAGCAATTATTTTCAAGAGTAGAACTCATTTCTTCCATCACAGCCCAAATGAGGTGACCTACAGAGCACACCGTAAGCTACATCTGGTCTCCCAGCCTTTTCATGGGAGTCGGGACTCAGGAGAACTAATTTGATACTAGATGGATTTAAAAGAGTAGCTTTGGGTTTCTGCTAGAGATTTGATTATTGTCATTGACCTACAGAGCTTTTGAAAGATAAAGTACTATGAATGTTGAGATTTTCATATATGTGTTATATTCTTAACTGATAACATAAAAACAAAGAGGATGCACAACAAAACTGTTCAGTGTAATGAACTAAAAATATATCAATACATTTATAGTAACTGGAGGTTTTCAAAGTCACATGAAAATTATCAAAAGAGCATACTTTTGCTCAAGCAACAAGGACCACCAGCCTTCTACAGCAGATTGTGGGAGTACACAGGAAGTGCAAAGGTGAGGAAGGGGAAGTCCCATTCCCTAAGTGAAGTCCATTCCACTCAGATGTCAATGAAATAAGCAACTATCTGACTTTTAGAAGACATCTGAAGGCAGCCCTGTTTAGGGAAGTTTTTAATGTTTGACCTTTTATTGTTTTTAATATCCTTTTGGAAGCCGCCCAGAGTGGCTGGGGATGCCCAGCCAGATGAGTGGGGTATAAGTAATAAATTAAATATTTATTATTAATTATTATTATTATTAATTATTATTACTATTATTGACAAAATTGGATGTCCAAATGGAAATTAATATTAACTTCAATTTTATCAAGCATTACACAAATGGAATTATGACGACTTTGGCAGTGTGTATCTCAAATGATTCCGAAGCACACAGTTGCCTTACTATACAAAACTGAGCAGTATTCACAACTTAAATAGTTATACTTGTTCTAAAGCTAAAAGGCTAGAATTCTCAATCCTCTGTCTTGCATTTTTGTTAGCTACTTTGTTACCCTAACAAGGCGGCTTCAAGCCAGGTGGCAAACCATATAGAACACTGCCAAAATTTAATAAAATTACACAGAAGGCTATCACCCCTCTATCTATGTGCTTATGCATGGTGAAGAAGAGAAGGCAACTGAACTGACTACTTAGATCAGTTACTGAAATGAAGTTGAACTAGTGAATAAAATATGTCCTTATTATGCTGGATTTCACTAGTCAAAGATTACCGCTCTGAGCAAGGTAGTCTGTTTAACTTCAAAAATGGCTCTGCATATATCACACCTGTCTGGAGTTACAGTAATGTGTTTCTAGAAGGCACAGACCAGGTTTCAACATCTGGAAGCAGACCATTAAGAAAAAAGTAATTGCCGAAATTACCATGAAGGGAGACATCTTTGTTAACAATGATAAACTTGAAAACCACTGAGGAAACCATGGTAGTTCTGAAACTATTGTGAGTGTGAGGGGAAAACACACTAGGAACTGTGGGAACTGCCGTAAAGCCATGCTGGGGGGACAGACGGGAGGAATGAGGTCAGGACATATTAAGTGTCTGCTAATGAGTGTACTTTGTTGTGAAAGGAACTGGCAGTTGATGGTTATGATGGTGGTGCTATCAGTTTCCCCTCTGGAGCCATGAGACCTCTCAAAAACCAAGTTGGGAGATAAATGGGTGTGGAAATTCTGAAAGCTGAGAATATCTGCTGCACAATGAACTTGTAAGCAATACCTACCCTTGTTTCATCTTTGCAGTCTAGTCAAATATTTACAGGTTAGTTTTGTCAATGCATTAGTTAAGCTATTTGATTCTGCTTTCAATAGCTCACCCTTAAGGCTATATGAAAGCTCTCTGCAGGGAATCATCTTGATACAGAAACTAGCTTTGACAGGACTATATTTGATACTTCAACTGTCATGCCACATTTCAAATCAAAAGGAAGTCACAAGGTACTGTAGGATTTACATTATATCAAATAGACTCTGCCTTAAGAGTTCTGAAACAAATAGCCCTTACTTTAAGCAAATATTTCCTTTTGAAGGACCATTTCATGTCCAAAAAAAGAGACAGCAATTTCAAACATTGCAAGTTCCCTTGTTTGGGAAGCATTGACCTGGAAGTTTTTGTTCTTCTTAGCTAAATGCCAACAGTTCTTAATTTTTCAGCTACTTGAGTGTTTTTCTTTTTTATAGAACTAGTGCCTTCAGTCTTTCTGAAAAGCAGTAAGATAGTGTGAATGGCTTGTATCAAACTAAGTTTGACTCAGTGTAGACCTACCAAAATTAATAAACCCCAGTTAGTCACATTCATTAATTTCAATGGGTGGGATTCACCTAAACAGTCCTGTTAGAAGCCCTACACAAGGATTTCAACTTGCACAATGGGTTTCCCCCTATTCTCACCCTCCTCCTCCCAAAGCTGCCTGAGCGGGTCGGGAGAATCCCCAGAACAGTGTGCAGGGAGAGGAGAGGTGATATCATCCTATCTGGCAAGCTGCAATGCTTGCAACAGATGCAAAAACTGAAAATTGCTATGTTGAATAGGTCTGCTCTAAGGAAGACCACCACTGGATACATCCCAATCACCCAGTTATCTTGATAAAATTACATTATTTTATGTAACTTCTCTTGTAAAATAATAAGTAGGCTTAAGCTAATGTTCTAGTTGCAGAGATCAAGATATTTTCTATTTGAGTCCAGAAGATAAAAGCAGACCCAAATAACTCCTTAGTCTGAGCAGTCTTTATAATTATTTATTTTGCATTTAATGCATTACTCTTATATGGAGTGTATTAATTTGAAACTTAACTTGTCAGTGCATCTCTTTCAACCTTAGGTTGAGGCTGGTAGGGGGAAAGACCACAGAGATCTCAAGTATAGGGCTGGGCAAGGCACTACTCCCAGATAGGGAAACTAGGGCTTCCTTCTTATATCAAATACAAAAATGAGCATCCAGCAACCAAGCTGGCTGTCGGGCACTTTGGAAACACTGAAAAAGGGACTTTGAAAGGTAGGCAAGGCAATGCACCTATCAATCATCTAAAATCATAATGATGTCAGATGACTCACAAGTGAGTTGTCCAAAAGGTTTGTCTGCAGGGGTGGGGACAGTGAAGAATCTGACCTGCTGAGCTGAAAAGATTTCCCATCCCTGCTAATAAAGTAATGTGGCAACCCATCTAAAACCAAAAACACACCACCCAACAGCACCAGGGAAAAACATTTCGTCCAACATACTCCCTACTGTGCTTGTTTTCTACTGGTAGGAAGATTACACATGAGCACATGCATGTACAAAACATTATGGCACAGTGGCCTATTAAAATGGCAATCCCAGAGCTGAGAGTGTTCCAGGCATGATCATATCTATAGTCAATCAGGAGTCAAGACAAGGTAAACAGGAGTGAGATAGACTGAACTGGAAGGAAAGCTGTCCAGAGACCTCTATTGTGAGCTATTGAACAGCCAACTCACCCCCTTCCTACTTACCAGATGCACTTGGGGAAGCCTCCTATTGAGTAGCCCCCTCCTGTTCAGTAGACCTCTGCTTTCCTTGAAGCCAGGCAAGCATTTCTCATCCATTATCTGTCTCACACCAGGTCTGCCTCTGTCTGAGCTCCTGGGGGCTACAGGGGAAGAGGGAGAAGCTCGATCCATGGTGTGGTGTAGGGAATTAGACTGGTGAGTTAGACTGCTTAACAGATTCAAGGCATTCCCTGAGGACAAAATTCCTTGGACAAAATGCCTCCAGTGTCTAGGTCAGACTAACTCTTGATAATATATTTACATACACCTTTTCATTCATCTAACACCAACTCTAGTCTGACTCATGTTTTACTTTTATTCAGGATCCATACAATACTTCCTTGCAGCCCTGTTTAGGGAAGTTTTTAACGTTTGATGTTTTGTTGCTTTTTTACATATTCTGTTGGGAGCTGCCCAGAGTCGCTGGAGAAACCCAGCCAGATGGGCAGAGTATAAATTATAATTATTATTATTTCTATATCAGGTTACGAATCACTCACTTCTACTTCAAAGCTATTTGCATCTGTTCACTATTTCAGATGCATTGTCGGAAACAATCCCTCATGCTAAATCTTCCAGCAAGTTTTATATTAAGCTTTCAGCCTCCATTTATAATGGATTCTACATAAGCATTTCCAAGTCTAGACTAAAATCAAAGTTCTAATGCGAACACATCCCAAGCACTCAGAATACTCAGCTTTATTTATCTCTCTGATGTATGACCATCTATTCTCTAATCATCCAGCTCTGCAGCCTCTAAGCATATGGAAACAAGCTGTTCTATAAACCACTTGCGGGCAGAGGTCTAAGAGAGCTTGACTCTCTGTATCAACTTTCATTTTAAAGTAACATATTTTGTATCTTGCTTATTGATATCAACATGGCCCTTCCATGTTACTAGGGTCTAATTTGGATTTTGACCTACTGAGGCTGCTTTCTGGGCCAGATTCAACCAAGTTGTTGCCCTAGCAGAAGCCAGCAAATACCGTATTTTTCGCCCTATAGGACGCACTTTTTCCCCTCCAAAAATGAAGGGGAAATCTGTGTGCGTCCTATGGGGCGAATACAGGCTTTTGCTGAAGCTTGGAGAGTGAGAGGGGTCGGTGCGCACCGACCCCTCTCGCTCTCCAGGCTTCAGGAAGCTATTAAGCAGAGCGCCCGGCGCGCCGGGCAGACATCCGCAGCGTGGGGAGCCCTGCGGGAGTTCCTGCAGGGCTCCCCACCCTGCGGATAGCAGCCTGCCGCCCGGTGCACAAGGCGCCCTGAAGCAGAGCGCCCCACGCGCCGGGCAGACATCGGCCAGCCCCACAAGCTCGGGGGGCAGCGGGGAGGCGCAGCGCCCCATCCCGCTGTTCCCTGACCTGGTTTTGGGGGGGGAATAAAGGGGAAATTTTTTTCCTTTATTTCCCCCCCAAAAAAACTAGGTGCGTCCTATGGGACGGAGCGTCCTATGGGACGAAAAATACGGTAAGTCCTGCTAGAGCAATAGGACTTTCCTCCCCAGTTCACATGCCCCCCTGAACCCTCCCCAAATGTGTTCACTCTTAGTTTCTTCCTACCTTCAGTCAGCTATCCACTAAGCACTTCAAAACCAAACTAAGAATTCAAAGTTAGTTGTAAAAACCTCTTAAGTTCATTTATATTATTGTTACCAAGCACTCTGAACACTCAAACTTGACTGCTTAATTTATTGTTTAAAACCACACTGTCATCTATATTGTTGCATGAGAGTATGGATGATGATCACTCATGAAGATTAGCATAAACAACTCAAGTGGTAGAATATTGTCTGGCTAGCTCAAGTAATAAGTCAGCTTTTTATAAGAACATCTAAATGTATGAAGACTGATTTTCAGTACAAATATGTGCTGGAACGAAACCTTCACTGTGATATCTGTGCTGCCAATCTCTTTCAGATTATTCACCACCATCACCACTCAGGTGCTTTCCCAATGGAGCAATTGACAACAACAAATGTATTTTGTTCCATTATTTAGCCATACATCATGGTACAATCTTATTCTGAAAATTTGCTAGTTAAGGATCTATAAGATTCAGCAGAAGACTTGCTATATTGGTAGAAAACCAGGTATGATACTGCCATGACAGATTCACCCATTTATCTGGCATCTTCCGCCAGTATAATATCTAAAGCCGAACACATGCTGTATCCTATATACGTCTTCAAGTTACGGGCAATGCTTATCAACAGTGGAACGTCATATCAGCCCCAGACCAAGTGCCAAGAAATTTCTCTCACTGACTTCAATGGGGCCATGTTGTTAAAAATTGCTGCCTCTCTATTGATAACCACCCTACCCACGTTGCCACAACAGAGTGTAACATATGGTATAACGGCAAAGGACCCCAGATGGTTAAGTCCAGTCAAAATCGACTATGGGGTGTGGTGCTCATTTCTGCTTTCAAGCCAAGGGAGGCACCATTTGTCTGCAGACAGCTTTCTGGGTCATGTGGCCAGCTTGACTAAACCACTTCTGGCGCACAGGACACTGCGACAGAAGACAGAGCACACGGAAGCATCATTTACCTTCCTGCTGTAGCAGTACCTATTTATCAGGGAAGTTTTTAATGCGTGACATTTTAATGTATTTTTAATCTTTGTTGGAAGCCGCCCCGAGTGGCTGGGGAAACCCAGCCAGATGGGCGGGGTACAAATAATAAATTATTATTATTAAATTATTATTATCTACTCACACAGGTATGCTAGGTTGGCAGGAGCTAGGAAAAAGCAACGAGAGCTCACCCTATCACACAGATTCCAACTGCTGACCTCACGATCCACAAGCCCACCTGCATCTCGTAACATATGGTGTAACTCAATGCCAAACCACAGCATATCATCACCAATATATTAACCACACGCAGGGAGACCACAACTCAAGGTAACAGGGCATTCTACATGCTGCTACATTTCTCTGGTCCCACACCATACACACTTAGAGCTTGCAAGGACTAATTCTAGCAAAGGTCACTGTCTCCAAATTACTCATAGAAAACAGTGTATTGCTTCTCTGACTAGAACCCTAACAGGTATATTATCTTTAGAATCCAGATACAAATATCCAACAGCAAACCTCACTCCAACAATGAGGGTGCCAGGATGGAGCACCCCATATAGGTAAGCATGAGATCAGGGGCAACCATGACACAATGCAGAATTGTTCCAAATGCTTCCCTTGTCTCCCATCCCTAAATCAGCCATACACAAACACTGTGTCTTCCCTGAACCGCATTGCTGTTAACAGTAAAATGTACTTACAGCAGAAAGTAATACTTTCCACATTAAGGTGAAGCACTCATACCCAACATTGCAGGTAAGCTATTAGCAAAGGCCAAGCACTCAAATTCAACTACTGCTATTGAACCCCATTATCCCTAATGCATTGCAAGATCACACTCAGACTTCCACTGCAGCCCCCAAGGATGAAAAAGGGGTGTGTACTCACAGTCACTGCAGGAAGAACACATGAGCACTTGGGTGGTACCACTCTCCCTTGTCTCTTTCTGCCTTTCTACCTATTCTGCATCCAGATTCAGCTGTAATCCAGCTGCTGCCTACTACTCATTACCCTTGGTCTCCTCAGGCTGACTGTTCCGCAGCTACCACTGTAAGCTCCATGGCAGACAGTTTTGCAACAAGTGAAGATACTCCTAACATGAAGCAGGTATGGCTGGTGCAAAGAACAGGACAAGTACCCTGCTGGAGTGGCATCTTGGCAATTCCAACCTTTCCCTTTCCCTTGCAGGATTTACTGAGTTCTACCCCACCCCAGATGCTGATCAATCAGGGCTATAACTGCCACATGTGTTGTTTCCTTATTCCCAGAGATTGATAGATAAGGATTGCTTTTCCACACTCTAGCATGATTTGGCTTCAGCTGGCCTCAGGATGGAAATCACAGAGGCTGAGAGCTTGAAGGGTTTAGGAGTGGCCCTTCACACCTGTTCAGTCAAGGATCCTTTACCATGAGGTTAGAATGCCTCTTAGGATGTACAGCAGGGAATGAAAATAAAAGCAGGCAGTGAGCCCTGCACGGTACTATCCAGCAGAACCAACCTATCAGGCAAAATAGCAGGGTATGTAATGGACTGATCACATAGGTTGCCAGGAGTGAGGCAAATGAAAGGACTGTTGGCCCATACACAGGCTGAGTTATTGGTACCATGCAGCACTCTTCTGATTAGCTCAGGTGTGCCTGGTATGGAGTAATACTCAGATTGAAACTTGGGTCCCTTGCATGTAAAATGTGAGCTGTTCCACCCAGCTAGGATTCCTTCTGCATTCTGGCATCTATGCAGGTGTTGAGGTTGGCAGAAGAGAAGACAAATGGCTCATTATGTGCTTGATTGTTGTCAGCTGTTATAGTATATAGTTTCAGGCACTGCTCCATGATGTTTGCAGCATGACTTCCAAGTCCTGAAATCACATTCTCTTTTGCCTGACATGACTTTAACCAGGCATACAAAAGGGGGGGGGTACATTTGCCCTTTTTTCTGGTGGACCTGAAACTGCCACGTCCTGCTTCCCAGTCCAGTATTGTATACAGTGAGCCTCTGGAGGTTGATGCTGTCAATGCCTTTTGCTGCATGTGCTGACCCCTGGGCTGTGGGGCAAGAGTCTTTGTGTCACCAGATGATATTGAACCTTTGTCCCAGTAGGGCTGCATGTACTCTCTGCCCATATAGCTATGATGGTAACATACTGTGCAGGCTTTCCTTCTTCCATTGAGACTGTATGTTGTGCTCATACAATAGTAGGTGTACGACACAAAGGGATTTGAACCCCTGGCCTGTAGGTATGCCTACAGACTGGCAGAAGCAGGGTCATTGCATGCTGTGCCTGGAGCTGATGGGGATGCAACTGGGGTTGTGCTCCTCTCATACATTAATTGTCAATGTCTGTACAAGTGCAGGGGAGGCCAGCTCACAACAGAATGACTATGTGAAGCTCTACCTTGGGCCTCCAAAACAAACCCTAGACAGGGGAAGCATGTGGGCATTGTCACTGGAACAGTTTCCCCATGGTAGTGGGGAACAACACCTGAGAACTCAGTACTGGAAAAGGCTCTTTTAGACTTCAGAGAGGCTTCAGTGTTGGCTTAACTAAAACACACACACACACACACACACACACACACACACAAACATGCTAACATGTAACACAGGACAAAACAAAGCAACGAAAAGACACCGCAAGAAGAGTGAAGACTATAAAGAATAACACACAAAATTCTGAGTGCCAACTTGCAGAAATGTGAGTTTATGCCTTTTTTAAAAAAGCAAGAACTGTAAAATGGAATTCTCACTTTGGATAACAATTTCTGCCATTTTTGAATTAGTACATCATTTATTTATTTTTAATAGTGGAAATAGAGTAAAGTAATAACATTTTTTTGATAACACTAATCTGGAAACATTGCCCAACTGCATGAAAACATATTCTACACTAGGATTTATACCAAGCATATATCTTATAGCAAGCATATAGTTTAATCATGGGTAGACTATGTATTTGAAACATTAAAAAATCAAAACTGCATCTTTCATATGACATTTTTAGTCAAAACTTAAAAAAAATTAAAAGTGATTTTGATTGTTTCATTCTTCACATATGTGGGGAAATGCTCTTTTAAAAACATGGCTTTGCAATGACTGCTTTAAAAGCAAAAAGGAACACATCAGAAACCAACCTCTCATTTAAACATTACTAGCAGAAAAAAAGGTTCTGGATTGGTATACCACTCTTATACCACTCTTTTTCTCCAATCTACCAAATATGAAACAACCTGCTTCATGTTAAAACATGCTTGTACTAAAGGATGCCAGCAGCCAACATTACAGAAATGATTCAACAGAAATGGATTCCTGACTACTGTTCTCTAATATCATATTTAATTTTAATGATTTCTTTTTTAAAGAAAGAAGTGTGTACTAGGCAAATTTTATCCAATGCCTGGCAATGTACATTTCTATGAACTCTTACATAATTACAGACCTAGATCATCATCAGCTTAGATTCATGCCTGCAAAATTTCATTTTATAATCAAGGCAAAGGAATAACAATGCCTGCTATAAATATGCAGGGATATTTTTTTTTCATTTAATCTTCTCAGCTACATAAATAAGATCTCTAGCTATTCCACTATCAGAATACACAGTACAAGTCAAGCAAAACAAAAGCTCAAAAAATAGCTTACAAATTACTTTAACTGGCATTTTAATACAATAAGAGCTTTAAAGATGAAAACCATTAATAAACTTTCACCTACAAGAATTCTTCCGATTATTCTCAGTGGTTCCTGGAGAAGACATGGCAGAGAGAAACAGGCAAGTAAACAGAAGCACAGTGCTGATCAAGTGAAACCTCCAATTACTAAGCAGCTCTAGTGATGTACATCTTTCCCGTCGTAAAAGAATGATACTACACATTCATTCCCCCACTCGAGAACTACATAGGACAGACCACATCAATTGGTCATTCACATAAAACTGAAACAAACAAGGAGAAATTCTTCCACTGTTGCTCCATAAACTGAACATAAGCTGTCAGGAGATGTGGTATTCCAGAATGCATGCCTATATCTGGGAGCTACCACATGCCGTTTGAAAAAGGGGTAGTAAGTGGTCATTAGGAATACACTAACAGCTAATACTTGATTGTCTAACAAAATGCAATACATTATTCAATTAAGCCACTGATGAACAGATTTCAGTTTAAATAGGAACAGTTTATTTGGCTCTCCCCTCCCAAAATTACCAATTATGATTGTGTTTAATAACCCTTCAGAACAGATTATGTACTAGTCTTGCTAGAAATGAATTTTCCCCCTTTTGCATGTGTGTGGTGTGCACACACACGTGCATATACACAGAGAGAGAGAGAGTCTGAACTTGAAAACACTGTGCTAATGTGCGATACACACATCACACAAATTATTCAATCACAGCTTATTATGATTTGCTCTGTTAAGCCAAATACTCATTAACATTCCTCTGCCTGATAATCTCAACAATGTGAGTTTTCACAATTTAGAAATGCTTTCTCAAGCAAAAAGCAAAAAACTTGATTTAAATGCAAGCATACAGTTAAACCTGTTTGTGCACAGTGGGAGAAAAAAGAGGGGGTGCAAAGTGTTCTCTCCCATATTTTAACTGCTCTTTTTATACCTTATTCAGTTGTACATTCTGAGCTACCCAGTATCATACATGCAACATTGTAAAAAAGGTCTTTAAGCAGAGGCTTGAGACAACCATATGTCAGGAGTGCTCTGATGGTGTTTCCTGCTTGGCAGGGGGTTGGACTCGATGGCCCTTGTGGTCTATGATTCTAATTGTGGGAGCATCATACGTTTACACAGGAGCATTATGTTCCCTCTTTTTGCACTATTTTAAGGCTGCAATTTGAAGCTAGTTTCATTAACAGAAACATCACCTGCATACCCTCACTCGTCATCATCTGCTCAACAGGCAACAGTAAGGAATACACTGCGTATCTCAGTAAAGACATACAGAATAATTCAACATCATGCTATGCCAATCGTTCTGTCAGGGCATGCATTTCTACTTGCCATATGGAATAGCACTCCTCCCCCCCCCCCATCATTCTAGGAGTTCTCCCAACTCCCCACCCCAAAACAATTTCAAGGGGCAAAGAGGGCAAGGGGGAAGCTTCATTGTGCAAGACACAAAGTTCTTGTTCAAGCTTCTACTGATGTGTCTCACTTGCTGAATCCCTGCCATACAGTATATAACTTGCAAAGTTCAGAAAGAGGTTAACATTAAAATTGTCATTAAAATTATCCAAGATATCCCTACCTCCCACCACCAACCTAGAAAAAAAACCACTAGAAGTACAGTTGAAGGCTCATGTCACTAGAAATGGAGGATATAAAACAGAACTAATCAATTCATATATATCTCAAGGCAATTATATCGGATCTTATAGCCACTGAGACCATATAACACTGGTCCTGAAAGACCTACATTAGCTCCCAGTATGTTTCAGAGCACAATTCAAAGCGCTGATGCTAACCTTTAAAGCACTAAACAGCCTCAACCCAGTATACCTGAAGGAGCGTCTCCACCCCCATCGTTCAGCCCTAACACTGAGGTCCAGCACTGAGGGCCTTCTGGCGGTTCCCTCTCTGTGAGAAGTGAGGTTACAGGGAACCAGGCAGAGGACCTTCTCAGCAGTGACACCTGCCCTGTGGAACGCCCTCCCATCAGATGTCAGAGAAATAAACAACTATCCGACTTTTCGAAGATATCTGAAGGCAGCCCTTCCTGTTTAGGGAAGTTTTTAATGGTTGAAGTTTTATTCTGTTTTTAATGTTGTTTAAATCTGTCCAGTGTGGGTGGGGAAACCCAGCCCGATGGGCAGGGTAGAAATAATAAATTATTATCATCACCATTATCATCATCATCAAGTGTTTCCTCTTACCACAAGCTTTTACTGAGAGTTTTAATTAACATTTTAGTTTATTAATCAGCAGGTGGCAATTTTAATCAGTAAAACTGATTGTGGTTTGTTTTGCTCCAACCAGGATCAATAAGCCAAGAACATAGCTGCGCTACAGATCATGGTTTGTCAGGAGCACAACAAACTAAGATCCTTGGTTCAGATCTAACACTAAGTCAGAGATAATAATTTGTTCCCTTCCAGCATGAATAGAAAAAAGAGAAGCATGTACAATTCACTAACGTACAGTAAGCCAATGATTTATGGCTTACAGTGACATGCAAATGCAGCCAATATATTTGCAGCATGGTTAACACCCTCAATCTAGTCTAGTGATGTTTATCCCTGTGCAGTATCAGTAACACAAACAAATACAGCATCATGTACTTTCCCTGCCAGTATTGTACTTTCAATGGGGGGGGGGGGGATGAGTGGCAGCCATGTTGCAAATAAAACCTTTAATTAGATCCAGGATTCATAGAAAATGGTTAGGACTTCTCAGATACATCTACTCCCTCATAGACAATCTGGATCACATCACTATTTAAGACATATTTCAAGACCAGTTCTCATCTCCACATGAAACTGTTAGAAAGTATTGAAAACTTTATTACAATTTTTTTCAAAAGATCTGAAGGGGGGGAGGCAGATTTCAGCTGGCATTGCCTATTCTACTAAAAATATCTGTAGCTGAAACTCATATTGCAATTTAGAACAAAGAAATAATCAAGTATGCCTTACAGCTGAAATGGAAGTGTCCACTTGAATACATACATTTGGAAATCACTGACATTTTATGGCAGTCAAAATTAGTTTTTCAATAATTACAATAATTGCTTCACGGGAGAAATAAAATTAACTATTATATGAAACTGGGAAGTCAGAAATATATATTTACTATTCATCATCATTGTAGTTTACAGCAGAGCTGCCCAAATACACACAGTTCTACAACTTTATTAATATTAACTTTAATTGCTAACCCTTTCTATATCAAATGATCAAAGAGCAAGTTATAATCCATAAAATAACATAAACGACAAAAATCAATAGTCGTAAATATAAATTAAATATAAATTAATCCTTGGAATATCGAAAGCAACCAGTTCCTCCAATTTCTATATTGAGTTTTAACATATGCCAGTGACGCCATTCTCCTCTTGTCAGGGACTGGTACATTCAGACAGCAACCAGGACATCCCAGAAGAGATGCAAGGCACTGAGCAGTCGTACCTCAGAAGCCGAATGGAATCCATTCCAGAAGGTCGTTCGACTTCCAGAACATATGGAAACCAAGGCGCACCTTCCCATTGGCTGCAGGAAACTCCTGCAGCCAACCAGAAGCCACGGAACACACACTGGACGTTCGGGTTCCAAAGAACGTTCGCAAACCGGAACACTCACTTCCGGGTTTCTGGTGTTCAGGAGCCAAAACGGTCAAGTCACAAGGCGTTCAACTTCCGAAGTATGACTGTACTCTGTACTGATTTTTGTTGCTGACAATTAAATTTTATGCAAACAGCTCAAACAGAGTTGCAGCTAATGGCCCCCAAATACTTGAGTGAATAGCCAAGTCTTAACTTGGTGCCAAAATGAAACTAATCGCAGTGCCAATCAGGCCTCCAAGGGGGCGGGGGAATTCCACAACTGGGGTGTCATAACAAATAGGCCATCTCCCACAACTCCATATAATGCCCAGCTTTCAGAGGTGGGATGCAGAAAAAAGACCTCATTCCCAATAGACCTCTCTAGGCTGAAGGGTATAAAGAGAGCACACTCCAGGAAGCATCAAGGTTCGAAGTTCTTTAGAACTTTGATGCCATCACTAACACCTTGAAATCAAATGGAAAACATACCAGGTCCTAGGACAGATAATTAAACAGTCAGCCTAGGAGCACTTAGAAAAGGATGCTGTGATTACTAACAGCAAGCATGGGTTTACCCAAAAAAAAGTCATTCCAGACTAATCTTATTCCTTTTTTGTTTGTATAGAGTTACTTGCTTGATGGATTAGGAGAATGCTGTGGAAGTAAAGCATATTGATTTCAAGTAAGGCTTTCAACAAAGTCCCCCAAGATATTCTTTTGTAGGAGCTGGTAAAATGTGGGCTAGACAATGTTACTGCTAGGTGAATTTGTAGCTGGTAGACTGACTGAATACAAGACTGCTCACCAATGATTCTCCGTCACCCTGGAAAAAAAGGGGACAAGTGAGGTGCTGCAGGGTTCTGACCTGTGCCCAGTGGTTGTTACAACATCTTTATCAATGACTCAAATGAATAGAGGAAATCTGCAGATGGCACCAAGCTGTGAGGGGTTGTTGAGAGAATCTTTATTGCAGTCCAAAGACCCATAGAGTAATTTCAGAACAAAATACAGTTAAGATAGCCAGCCACACAAGAAAGAGAAACCGAGGCGGTCATTTTGTTTTGTCTTAAGCATGATAATCTTTGTTTCTTATAACTTCTAAAAGAAACTTTGCCACAGCCAGTGTAATATCATTAGACCTGTCATCCAAAATATATTTAATATGGGAGGCTTCCGATTTTCCTGGCAAATTTGCTAGTAGGGGTTTAATCAGTTGGTCCCTTGCTTGCTTGTACTGCCCACAATGCAGTAAGATATGCTTCATACAATCGACGTCCTGAGAACATAAAGCCTATTCTGATAAGGGATGCTTCTCAGTCTACCATTTAGCACTTCCGATAGAAATACATTTAGTCTGGCTTTGGTAAATAAACGCTGATAGGTTGGTACAGACAGGTTCCCAAGATATGAGGATATCTGAAAGGCGTACCCATATTGGATTCCTGGGGGGTAGCTAATGCCTCAGAAATAGAATCAGGATTGAATGTGTGCTTAACAAATTAAAGAAATGGACTCAAACTAACAAAATGAATTTCAATACTCAGTCCTGGGATCCTCCAGCACTAACTCCAAGACTACCTTGGGTCAGGAGTGAATTCTAGGCAGCAGGATGGATGGTACTGCAACAGTATCCCTATTATCTCTCTATAGTTCAATGTGAGGTACAGACCCACATAACCCTTAGCAGAATGGATGTGTCTCCTCACAAGAAAGATAGACTCACTGTGGATTCTTGTGACACACACGCTGACTAAGCCTCCAACTGAGGCTGAATTGGGTACCCAGGTAGAAAGAGCTGAGCTGGATCAATTCCATTCAGCCTGTCCATCCAGTTCTCAATAATACATGTCTGGTCAGCCCCCAAAGGACAGACCTGACATTTAGCTGCAGCACTAGATCAGAGGGCAGGTTGAATATATAAACACGCTAAATTCTATGCAAAAGAAGACAGCTATGATATATGCCACTGACTTTCAAAACTCAAACCTAAAAGATTTTTTTTTAAACATAGTTTATATTGTTCACTCTATAATGCAAGAATTAATAATAGCACAGAATTACATTTACCTACTCTTTGGCCATCTACTAATGGAGCCTGAGTTTAAAGCTGTCATGACAAACAAGACATTTTCAATACCAAGCTAAAACAATGTGGCATTTTATATAACGTGCCACTTGTTATCTGTTGAAGTTAATTGACTGTGTTATGCAATAATAAAATCACTCACTTAGCTAAGCAAAATCACACATTTAGCAATTGCTAACAATTTTTAAAATGGCAGATTAATACTTTGTGCCTCACACATTTTGTCTCAACAAGGTGTGCATCATAAGTGCCCACAACAGCAGGAAACACAATGCCACACTATGGACTAGCAGTCATCCACCATAGGCACAATGCTCACATGCAACATATGCTTAACAGCATTCAACATCTCAGGCCAGTTAGGAGGATGAAAAGTCTGTACACACCTCCTATATCCCTTTCCAGCCTCCCCTTTTCACTCAGTCAAGGAGTTCAAACTGTAGGCTCACTGTTTATTAACTTCACTACCAGCATATCGGCACAACAGAGCATTACTTATTTACTTCAACAAGAAACATACATAGCCAGGAGTAAGACGCTTGTTTGCATTATGGTAGCTAAAGCTGATCTGCAGAACTGGTCTGCCAGAAGTTAAGCAGTGCAATACAGAAACAAAAGTGAAATAGATATCTTTTGTTACATTTGATTTTGTAAAAGTTGTCCGGGGGGGGGGGAGAATTTGAATTACCTTTGAAGATCTCAAGTTCTTTCCTGTAAAAGGGGGGGAGGGAAACAAAACAAAATGCATGATCACAAGCTTAGCTGCACAAAATGTTTTGTCAGCAACAAGAAAAGAATGTAAGGTTGTGTGATTTTTATAAGTACAGTGGTACCTCGGGATGCAAACAGGATCTGTTCCGGAGCCCCGTTCGCATCCCGAAGCAAACATAACCCGTGTCCGCGCGTCACGTTTCGGAGCTTCTGCGCATGCGCATGACGTCATTTTGACGGTCTGCGCATGCGCGTGCGGCAAAACCCAGAAGTAATGCGCTCCGTTACTTCCGGGTCGCTGCGGAGCACAACCCGAAAATGCCTAACCCAAAGCGTATTCATCCCAAGATATGACTGTATGTTCAGTATGTAAGACTGCTTTTCATAATCAGGGTGTGTAAAACAGCATTATTATACACAATAAATTCATCTCAAGTCAATCAATAGTTGATATATTTTATTCCCACTGACTGCAAAAACAGCTTTGAACGAACAGGATAACCAATTAATCTGTGCAAGAACTTAAAAGCAAGTAATTTGAAATAGTTTAAGTATGTTTATCAAGTTCTAAAAAGTGCTTTCAATTATTGGCATTATTAATTCGGAGACAACAGAAGTCATATATCCAATCATATTAATAAAATAAGTATAAAGACTACTCTAAATGAACTTCAGAGTTGAAGGATTTAGTGTAATTCTACATTTTAGCATTTATTACTTGTAGAAAATTGTATGCATGATAAAACTGTAACAGAAATTGCTTGAGGGAAAGATGAAGTTCTATGATATAAAGAACGGCAAAATACACACTATCTTGGAGCCAAGTGTACCTGGATGGCTACATTCAGAGAGATGGAAAAGCAATAGTCTATAAGGGTGCTGATTTCTACAAACATCTACCAAAGAAATGCTTTTATTCAAACCAAGATCAATATGAGCAATGCTTAATCAAGGGCACAGTGGCACAGTGCTCATTTCTACATAATAAGGTAAACCTTTTCCAGTGCACCCTTTCTGATTAATTGTAAATAATTCCAGCCTGCTTCAAGTCAATATATAACATACAACATTCTTTGACAGAAGTAATCTGAGGAGCACCCATTCTTTCAAGAAAAATCTCAAAGGAGTTACTGGCAATTAGATTATATAAAAAAAACAAGGCTGTGTCTTTCAACAAGCTGGAATTCCTATATTTAGTGCAACACTGAAAACTAGCATATATTGACTCTGGAGCAATGTCAAATCATGAATGTTGCCAATAGGCACAGCTGGCATTAGCGAATGTCATCTTCAAGGGAATGGTAGTTTTTTAAGCAAGGAAAAAAGGTTCAAGTCAGAAATGAATATTGAAATGAATTTAGCTATGTGATATATTTAAATTCTTTTGTTTCACATGTACAGTTAATATAACAGGACAGAGGAACAGTGATAGGTGGTTTGGATTTAGGGGGACTCAGGTTCTAAACCCTGATTATTCACAAAGGAAATGCATTAAGTATCTCTCAACCTAATCATAGTATTGTGGTGAAGGTTGGATGAAAGTCCAATATAAATCACTCTTAGGCGGGGAATTAGGTCCCTTGAACTCATGTGTGGCTTCAAGGACACTTACTTTCTCCTTGCCTTGAGCACTTCAGGTAAGGATAGCTTCTCTCCTTTGGGTAACTCACATGGATAATGAACACCAGATAAGGATTATATACTCCTGCTCAGTCACCCTAAACTGGTGCTGCTACCTTTCAATTTCTTTAAATAACATACATTCTCCTGAGTAGAGGGATGGGCTCTCCTCATGCCCACAGCCTGCTGATTAACAAGGACAAATTTTAATCAGTTATGCCACCTCAAATTTATTATGGCATAACTTTTTGTACACCACTTCATCAGGTGCATGGAATAGCACAAAATTCTCTTTGGTTTTTGCTGCAACAGACTAACATGCATACCCCTCTGGAAATGGTGAAACTACAGTTTCCCTGCAATGTTCAAACCTGAAAACTGTGATTTAAGCACACCGTACCAACTAGGATTGATCATGGTTCGTATGCAGTACTTGGCAGACTTTGGACTGTAGGGAATGCTTATATCAGTTCCCTAGTGTAGACTTTATAGGGAAACTGTGGTTTAACAAACCATGAGGTTTTCTTACAGATGGTGCATAAGGAGGTGGTAGCCTGTGAATTTATCCCTGCTAGAAGGGGAAACTAGAGTTTGTTGAGTTGAGAATGTTACACCTGAACTGGGTAGGTGAGTCATCTTAGAAAAAAGCCTCTTTTGTCTGGTATCTGAATAGGTGCTGCAATGTGGGATAGAAAGCAACTACATCTTCCTCTGTTATAATACAAGCATCTCAAGAAACATTCTAAAAGGGACGATTTGTGTATACTATGTTCTTTCTTGAATGGCAGTTGTTAATAACATTCTGACCATAATGTATTCTGACAATAATGTATTAATTGAGTTCTCTCTCAAATTATTAGAACAGAAATTGGTTGGTAAGTCTTTGACAATAAAAGGCCTTCCTTGTTCTGTACAGCAGTACCTCGGTTTAAGAACAGCCCTGTTTATGAACTACTTGGTTTACAAACTCCACAAAAACCGGAAGTAGTATCCCAGTTTGCGAACTTTACCTTGGTCTAAGAACGGAATCCGAACGGTGGAAGGGCACTGGTGGTGGGAGGCCTCATTAGGGAAAGCGCGCCTCGGTTTAAGAACTGTTTCGGTTTAAGAATGGACTTCCAGAACGGAATAAGTTTGTAAACCGAGGTACCACTGTATAAGTAATTTTTCACTCTGTTATCCTCCAATTTTGTTCATCTGGTTGCATCTTTAGATTTTTCCTCCAAAAGAGTTCACCATCTTACTTGGTGTAAATTTAATGCATAATTCCAGCTCTTTTCTTCAAGGGTATAAGCCCTACGATGCAAATCACCTCACTAATGTGTCTCCAGAGTATGTCAAAATATGTCCTTTAGAAATCAAATAGCTTGTCTGCAATTCTAAATCCAACTGGCCTGCTAATTAAATCAAACCAGACTAAGTCATGATCACTTGCTCCAAGTTTATTCCTAACACCATTTATCTTATCCTTGTCAGCAGCAAACCAGACACTACCTTTTCTCCCAAGAGGTGAGTGACAACTTGATGAACCAATTTATCATTTAGCTCACCCAGAAATAGCTGGTCCCTGCCATTGCTAGAAGCATTTATTTTTTCATCTGTACCAAAGAAATTACTATGCAATGCCCTTTACTATGAATCAGAGCAATGTTGACAGAAGATGACTAATAAGGCAGATCAAGTCACTGCAATTAGTAGAAGACTGAAGGCCTAAAATACCCAAAGTGAAACTTTTTCTAGCACAAATTTCCATTCTCAAACAAGAAGATATTTAAGATGAACATATATTTGCACAGAAAGAAGGAATTCACAGTCAATAATATCAAAAATAAGTCTTTAAAATCATAATAAACTCACCGTTTAGTCTTTTTGTAATTTTCAAGCTGTAGTACTTGCATATGCTTGTATCTTTCCAATTCACACTGTCCACAGAGGTCTTCAAGATAAAGTAAATGATTTTCCATTTCCTTAAAATTTGCTTCCAGTTGGACTGTGTAACAAGATATTCAAATATCAAAATAGGCAAACCATTAGGAACATAATTTGTGGTGGTTTTAAAGAAAATTTTGCTTATCTTGGCAAACAAGTGATGTCTCAAAACTAATCACACTGGTTGGGGATATGGCCAATGAGGAAAGAAGGTTCCTCTTCCTGCCTTTTCCCTTCCCACCAACACTCTCCCTCAATACTGGCCTAGGCTTCACTGAACAATCATTACATGAAAGAAGATCCATGTAAAAAAATCTAGTGACTTTATTCCATAAACATCCTAAGGTGCAACATCCTATGGAGCACACACAGAAGGACCCAGTAGCCACCCATCACAGGGAGAAATCCCTTTCCACTCCACAACACTGATCAAGATGGTGTATGGAGAAAGAATCAACACAGACCATCTGTGTCACACGCACACCAACAGCATTAAACAAAATTTAGTGCTCCGTTATTGCCTGCCCTACTCATGTGATTGTGAAATATGATGAGTATTCACAGGCTCTTTACAGCATGTTACAGTTGTATGGTCTATGATGATCATCATCGTTTTTACCAACAATTCACAACTCCTGATTATTGCATTGTTTTACTTGCACAACTGTTAAACTTTATATCTATGTTACTTGTACAATGTGTTTTTGTCTATTTAAGGAACTGAGGAATCATTTAAACCCCACATACTGTTTAAGTAGGTTTTTGTACTTACAATGTAGGGTATTTGATTATTTACATTAAACTATACCATTCAATGGGAAACAAGCAGTCTCAATAAAGGCAGGATCTTCTAAACTTGCATGCTCCACATATACTGTGACACACACACACACAGCCCAACACACACCATGGTTAGGCTGAAAAAAACCACTTCAATAGGTTCCAATGAAATGAAATCCAATCAATTCCAATCAAATGAAACCAGTTGGTTAATGTTGTTTTTAATCTTAGTTGCTGGGGGAGGACACAATATTCATGGAGAGTGCAGCTTCGGGGGGGGGGGTGTTAACCCTACAAACCGCAGCTGCAATCCCCATTAATATCACCCCAAGAAATTAGGCATAAAGCTAAAATGATTTTTCCCAAGCCCAATTGTTTTTGGACAGGCTAAATAGAAGCTGGCCTTTATGTGGTATGTGCTGATGAGTCACGCTGTATGCATATAATATATGCAATGGTGCGGGGGGTACATGCAATATGAATTCTGGCCAAGCTAACTCTTGTTTTGGCCCCACCCACCACTGGCATGCAGTCCCAGATGATTGGCCAAGAGAGAATGTGGTCCTCAATGCTCCCCTCTTCCTCATTCTAGATAGTGATTTCTGGAAAAGTAGCAATCGAGCACCCCCTAGTGGAGACTTTACAAAACTCCAGATAGTTTACATGACTGGGGTCCCTATTTTCTTACTACAGTGGTGCCCCGCAAGACGAATGCCTCGCAAGACGGAAAAACCGCTAGACGAAAGGGTTTTCCGTTTTGAAGTTGCTTCGCAGGACGAATTCCCCTATGGGCTTGCTTCGCAAGACGAAAATATCTTGCGAGTCTTGAGATTTTTTTTTCGCTTTCCCCCCCCTTTATCTAATCTGCTAAACCTTTAATAGCCTTTAATAGCCTTTTAGCAGCTAATCCCCTAAACCTTTAAGCCTTTAATAGCCGCTAAACCGCTAATAGCGCTAATAGCGCTAATCCGTCAATGGGCTTGCTTCGCAAGACGAAAAAACCGCTAGACGAAGACTCTCGCGGAACGGATTAATTTCGTCTTGCGAGGCACCACTGTACCTACAATGAACTTTACAAATGCCAAGCATTTGCCAATTTACTTTTACTCTTTTTTTTTCAATTGTGCTTTAGAGAGCTTTCCAAATAGTAGAATAACAACTTCTCAAATACTAAAATAATGGCACCAGAGAAGATATCTTATATGATAAAAATTAACAAATGTACATCAATTAACCCCAAGAAGGTAGGAGAAACTTGGAATCAGTGTCTTCAGGCAATACTGAATGAGAGGAAGATTAACAGACTGAAGCTTAATCTGGACAACACAAACATGCTGTTAGATGGGAATCTATCTGATTTGGATGGAGATATATAACCTGCTCCAGATGGGGCTGCACACTTCCTGAAGAATGAAGTACACAGCTTGATGTAGGAAAAGTGGCCTATATGGCATTTGCAGCTAAGACTAGCCCTCTACATTAGACTTCCCTTAAAGACAGTTTAGAAATTGAAATAGGGTGACCACATATTCAAATCTAACACTGGTTATCAATTTGTGTCTGGGCTCAACTGAAGAAGCTCATGCTCTGGGACGCGACTATTTAAAGAAACACCTTTTCCCACATTCATACATGGGATTAAATATAATCTTCCAAATCTTGCTCTTTTATCTCCCAGGGTACCAGAGACAGGACCTTTCTGCAGCAACACCTCAATTATGGAAATCTCCCCCAGGGAAATCTGGCAATCCTCCTCCTTCTGTGCCTTGAAACATTCCTTAAAAGCATTATTATGAATAGTTTTAATTTTTGTATGCCAATTCTTATTATTATACCTTTAATATACCATTATTAAATTTTTAACTGTGATGTTTTAACATTTGTATATTCATAATTTTCAAGCTGCTTAGGGGAAAGCTTCCTAAAAGGTGGGATAAATCTTTAAATAAATAAGCAGGACACACACACTTACTCAAGCTAGTGGTTGTAGATTCCAAATCTGCTAAAAAACCTGGAATTTGCTGGAGCTGTTCCTGGAGGTCTAGGAGACTGCTTCTCTTCTTCTCCCAGTGAGCAGAAAGCATCACAACTTCACTATCCACCAGCTGCAATGTTTAAAACCAAGGATAAAACTAACATTATTAAATTTATTTCAACTCTCCAAACCTCTGATAGGGCTCATGAGTCAGCTGCCAAAGCCTTAAATAGCTACATATTTCAATTCACAATATTTTCAGTGCAAAATACAGATAAAGCAGATTTCAAATAAAACAAAAATACTATTCAAAGTTATGCTAATGCACTATACTAAATATTTTTCCAAGTTTGCAAAAGTATTCTTCAAGACATACACCTGGCCATGGTCTCTCCAAAAGTGAATGAATGTCATTTACTTTGAAATGCAAATTCTGATTATGATAAACTCTCAATTTAACATTAATTTTAACCTGTTGCATTAAGTACTCCAATATCCCATAGTCTGTTCAGTCAACTCTTTATTACTGCAGGGATGGAGGACCTTTTTCAGCCTGAGGTCACATTTGCTTGCAGGCAACCTTCACAGTGATAGGTGAGGCAGAGCCGCAAATGTGACTTTTATTCTACAGAATACTATATTCCATCCATGCAAGAGTTAAGTCTCTACACACACACACACACACACACACACACACACACTTACTTTTGCCTTCCATTCCAGCAAGCAAGAGTCATTATCACAGTACAAAATACAGCCAGGCAAAAGCACTTAAGGAGATGCAAAGAAGGGCCAGTGAGATACATGACCCAAGGGGAGGGGGTGTGAATGTCCGGGGGGGGGGGGGGCTTCAAGAGCCACATTTGGCACCTAGGCCTGAGGTGCCCATTAACATATTCATGTCTTTCCTTTGAACAAGGCAAACCTTTGCAGCTGTACAAGTTGAAAGAAACAATTTTTTGAAAAATATTTGAACAATAGATTTTAACTGAGAATACAATTGTAAATTCAGGTATCAAATCAAAGTTTATACCAATTCAGCAATTATTTCTGCTACACATTTTAAAGTTTATAAAACCTTCTGCTGAAATTTCAGTTAGATATTTGGTATTCTGTAAGTATCCAAGGCATGCCACAGCTTAGAAAGCCAGCAAATCATGAACAAGGAACTCCTTGACGTTGTCATCAATACTGTAAGTTAGGTTTAAATCTGTAATATATTTTGACATTTGAAGCCTAATATATTTAACAGGAATATGCCAAAGAAAAGTATATTTATGTACGATGTATGTGTTTTACTTACAGAAACAATATATAATGAAGCACAACTAGTTTCTATTTGCAAGTAATCAGATTGATTTGAGTTCTGATTTGATGACATGTGGCTATATTCCTATTGCCCTTAAACCAGTTCAGGAAGGAAATTGTCAGGGAACTGCCATCAGTGCCGGAGGGAGAGAGCAAAATCCAGAGGGATTCCGGAGAGCGTCCCGGGATTGGGAGAGGCAGCCCATCTTCTGGGGAAGAGAATCAGCGTAGCACCAGTGGAGAAGGGGGGCAGATGGGGGAAGCGGCGAGGCGGTCCCATGACTCCTTGCCGGGGACCAGCGGGGAGAGTAGAGCTCCTCCGCTGCCTACGCCCTCCTTGCGCAGAAGCCTTCCGCACAGAGAGAGTAGGAGGCGACTAGGCGTCAAAGAGCTTCTGTGCTGGAAGAAGTTTAAGAAACGCCCACTGACAGATTCTGCCAGCGATTGAGACAGCCACGGGTGAGTGGCTGTCCGGACAGAAAAGGTTCACTCAGGCAATCCAGCCAGGTGTTTGCACCGGCTTACGCACGAGCAACCCCTAGAACCATTACAGAAATGTATATGATTAATTTTAATTTTGTTGGTGATCATCTTGAGTTTTGCAAAGGCTTTTAATTATTACATTAGAATCCTACCCTTCCTCCAAAGCTCCCTATTAGTATTAGTTATATGAATTTAGAAGCATGCTGAAGATTTACAGCTATGTAGCCCACATGCTCCCCAGAAATACAGACATACCAATTTGCAGTAACCTGTACAGCTCCATTATTCTGTGAGTAGCATGCCACTTCAATTTCCCTGCCATGTACATTTGTGTGAACATAGCCAAGCACTTCAGTTGAACATCCATCAAAGTCAAGTGAAGATAGAACATTTAACTCAAGTGAAGGTGTGGAAGTGCTGGATGGTTGCCTGCAATTAATAATGTACTGGATGTGGGGGATGAATAAACTAATGCTCCTCTAGGTAAGGAGCGCATGTTGCAAGCACGTGGTTTGTCTGGGCCAGCAGAGAGGTAGAGGTGGCTGGGTGATTTTCGGCTGACATTGATGGAGCTGCATTCTACATAAAACACCAGGTTCCCAGTTAAGGAATGCTGATCAATGTTCAGGATTCTTTCAAACAGATGTTACATGGTGAATTCTCATTTATATGAGAGAGGTGTGTACCTTCCTAAATGCAAAATACCTAAACAACTGCAAAGTAGTTTTTAAACAAAATGTTTGTATGTTAGTTAGTTAATGTTTTACCTCTCCAGCTTTTGCGCATTCTTTCGCTCCTCTGTGAAGAGTTGCCCAAGTATCTTCATATCTTCACAAAAGAAAACAGTGATATCACTGGACTTATACTTAAGGTTATGGCCACAAGCTCACCTAGCTGTCCTGAACCAAATTGCTTATTTGCTGTAAGAAAATATATATATAGCTACCAAGAAAAACTGTTTATAATGTATTAAGTCAAACAATCTTGAACTCATAGCACTTGGGTTGTCAAGACTTAGAAAGCAAGCATTTTTTCAGAATTTTGCAGAGATTAATTGCACAGTTCTATGCACATCTATTTGGTAGCAAGTATTACTGAGGATTCTGCAGTATTGCAACTTAAGATCACAATATGAAAACATGTTTATATTTAAAAACTCCCATTAGCACTGGAGCCTTAACCAGATTCACATCTCTTAAGCTCTTAGAAACCACAAGGTCTAAAACCTGGGCCAATAACACAACTTTTAAATGAAAGCCAAATTTCTTAGATAAGCAAAACAAAGCTAAACAAGGCTTGGAGGGGTTCAAGACTGCTGAACAATTGGCAGAAACAAACCACACATTCACAAATAAAACATAGAAGAATGAAAAATCCTTAATTTTCCTTAAAAACAAGGATATGGTTTCCCTATCTTCATCTTAGCCATGCTTAACCAGGCTGAACTACCAATAGTGTTTGTGCTCAAGCCCCACTGAACTCAATGGGACTTATGTTTTTAGAAATGCATACTAAGTTTTTTGTTCTACTTTAGCTCCATATAAGTAACCAAATGCTAACCATACTAAGGTATCAATAGGATCAATGAAAACACTCACTTTTAAAAAGAATTCATTGTTTTCTACTGAATATTGATGTAAACAAGGGGAGCAAGGCAATGTGCTACAGTATCTCTCCTTACTAACTACATCCATGCCTCCAGAAAAATAAACAAGAATTATAAATAACTGAAATTCAACAGGAGTTTAAATGACAGAATTTACTTGCTCAATAAGAGTAATCCAGCAGAAAACTCTGGTGAACACTGTATAGTCCTGTAATAAAAAATAACAGAATGTGTTAATTAAGTGTTGAAGTCCTACAGTACTTTTCTAATTAATATTTAGATCAAAAAGCTACCTTTTTTACATTGCTGTTGCAAATATTAACAATTATACAACAACTTAGACTGGAAATTTTCAAAAAAAACCCACAGAAAACCTGCTAATATAAGCTTCTTAATGTTATTCAGTAGAACAGACTACAGTATTTGTTATGCCATGTAAATGTCATGTAATAAATTGGATTTTGTTAATGCAATTTTTATAAAGCATAATTTAAGAATATCCAACAGCACCTCTGCTTGCTTATTTTAGCCTCTCTTGATTTGTCGCTCAAGGTCTTCAGCCTAAAACACACACAAAGAAAAAGCAGTGAGACTCAAAATAAGGCAATTTAATAAGGTTTATTAAGTGTTTTCCCCCTCTTCTGCATTATAAACCTCACTAGATATATCAGTTCAGCTCCTCCACGTATTTTGATACTTCTCCAGCCCCCCATTTCTCTGGTATCATATAACTCCATGCCACTTAGTCAGCTTATACCATGGAGCAGGGAAGGACTGTAAATAATTAAAAGTAAATAAATAAAAATGCTTAACTGATAAATCACATCACAGATAACTCAGTTCTGCCCTACCTAACATAAAGTCTGCCCCCCATCCTGGCTACACCCATGAAAGAGGGCCTGTCACATTATAAGCTTGGTGAAAATACTCATGCTAGCCATTAGTGAATCAATCATTGTAATGTACCCAGGCACATTAATGACTCATGCCTGGGTATACTAGCAGGCATACTCCAACTTTCTCATTATACTTCAAAGTCAACACAAACATAGCTAGATTCCACATATGAACAAGAAGAGTGGTAGCTGGTGGTGCTCACTGGTACTGGTAGGGCAGAGATCAGGAGACCAGAGGCATAGCGTGGGGGGAGTCCATGGGGGCCATGGCCACAGGTGTAATTTTGTGAGGGGGTGCAAACAGGTGCCCCCACAGCAGTCCCCTTTGAGTGAGAAGCTGAGCCTGGCCGTAGCTCCACTCCTGGGTCAGGCCTGACCCAGGGGTGGAAAGCATGAGAATGGGTGGCAGTGCTGCCGCCTAGCTTCCTTGGCCACAGCGCACCTTGCGCCTGGCTGCAGCAGCTCTGCCACTGGGTCACATCTGACCCAGCAACAGAGAGCTACGACGGGGCGCGTCCAGCCACAGCAGTTCTGCTGCCAGGTCATATCTGACCCAGCAGCAAAGAGCAGGAGAGTGGGCAGCAACAATGCTACCCACGCTTCTCAGCCGCAGAGCACCTTGCGCCTAGCCACAGCAGCTCCACTGCCAGGTCAGGTTTGATCAGGCAGCAGAGAGCAGGAGTGTAGGCGCCAATGATGCTGCCCACCCTCCTCGGCCAAAGCGCACCTTGTTCCTGGTTGCGGCAGCTCTGCCGCCAAGATAGGCCTGACCCAGTGGTGGAGAGCAGGAGGAGAGTGGGTGGCAGCTTCCCCAGCCCTATCCATCCTTGGACTGTGGCACCCGGTAGGGCACCCTCTGCCCCCCGCAGAGGTGCACTCCCGCATCTGCCCTGGGCAGTGCGGGCATACGCTCTGCCACTGCAGGAGACCAACAGTAGGTGGAACCACAGCCAACGCCTGACAGAGCCTATTAATAATACCCCCCCCTCTCCCTAATGAGTTCCCCAAGGGCAACACTGAGACTGCAGAGGAAGAAGCTGACAGGCAGTGCTACCCCTTGGCCTGATTGGAAGTAAGAGGGAGACAGGTTTGAGTGAGGACAGACTGAGACTGGTGGAGCAGTGCCCCATTCACCCAAATGAATAGGGACTCCCCTGGTAACATGGAAAACAGCCCTTATAAGAAGCGCAATTGGAAATTAGTACTTCTATCAGCCTTTTTAAAAAGCAGGCCAATAAAATCACACTAAGTGGGGACTGGAAGGTGGAGGAGTACAAAGCATTGCCTGCAACTTGTGAGTCCCAAACCTTTATCATTAACACACACACACACACACACACACACAATATATATATATGCATTTTTTAAAAAAGGAAAGGGGTCCTATTGGCTGGACTCTTGTTCCAAAACGAGCTTACCTTACAGGTAATGTACTCTTATAGGAAAGCAATCAGTTGCAAGCTAGCAAAAGCTCCAATCCCTTTTTTAAAAAAAAACCAACACCGCACGATCAGGTGATAAGCAGCCTGAGTGATTTTTTTTTTTAACAACACCGAATTACCAAGTCCAAAGTTCATTTAGAAACGTTGGAAAGGAAGGCGGGACATGGGAAGTGACTCTTATTCAGGGCTAAAGTAGCCAAGAACTAATTGACAGCGCGTGGTTTTCGTGCAGCACCCCTGGTGCTATTTGAGGCAGCGTATTAGAAAGAAGAAAACCCGAGGCGGGACACGCCACTCGCCCCATCCTCACAACACGCACCTGGTGTCGGTAGTTAGCAGGCAATCCGCCCACAAACGCGAACGCGCTTCTTACACCGCCACACGACGCGCGTTTACTCCGAAGTAAAGCCCCAGTGAATTCCACCACGGGGCTCATTCCCAAAGTACCTCAAAAGTCGCCTCCGTCCTAGGGGGCGTTTTAACCGCAACTTTCCGCGGCAAACCCTCAACGCCCCACGGCGCGTCCCTCGTCAGCGGAGCCCCAAAGGGCAGCCCCTTACTCCGCCAACAACCCGCCCCGCACGCGGGCTCTCCCTTCCCTCAGCACCTCAGGGACTTTCAGGAACTTTATCGCGGCAGCGGAGGCGGCAGTTAACTCACCCCGAGGTCAAATCCTGCTGGACGCTCAGCAGCCGCTCGCGCAGGCTCTCGAACATCTTCTCCTCCTCCCTCCCCCTCTCGGCCCGCGCGACACAACAAGCGGGAAGGAGGACTCCTCGGAGCCCCCCCACTGCGGCACCCGGAGAAGCGCGGGACGTGGCGGGGAGGGGGGAGAGGCGGGGCTTCCCGCGAAGGGGCCCAACGGCCACACAGCCCAACCGTCGGCGGTTCCTCCTCGCGCTGTGCCTGTCAAGAGAAGCCCCGCCCACCCGAGCCACCCAAACCAACCGCTCGCCGGGGAGAAAAGGGAAGAAACGAAGGCCCGCTCGGGTCGCAGAGAGATATACATAGGTATATATACTGTATCTATGAAAGAAAAACAGAGAGTGAAGCGTCGCCTTGTCAGGGTAGGGAGTTTCCGGGTTTCCATCAGAGAAGTCGCCTTCCCCGGGACGGAAGTGAGAACTGCCCCCCCCCAACTATGGACAAGTTTAGAATCAGGAGTGATGTTATGTTGTTCTAAATGAATGTATACTTTACATTTTACTTTCTTTGTAATTTTTTTCCTGGCTGATTTAATGTAAACCGCTTTGAGGGTTTTTTCCCTTAAAAATACAAAGTGGCATAGAAGAGATATTAGTAGTATTATCATTGCTGCTGCTGTTAATAATAATAATAATAATAATAATATTGCACGAGCTTTCACGGGGCCCCACTGCATACGGTGGTACCCTCCGATCCACCCACCAAAAAAACCAACAGTGAAATTCAGCTCTTGTTTGTGTGGGAAATCTTGTTTGCTTGTTTATGCGAATATTCCAGTCCCAATAATACGTTTCAGCTCTGTCTCAGAGAAGCGGGGGGGGGGGGGGACGGACACCAGTGCAGAATTCAGAAGTTGAAGCTACGTGTCACTCAACCGTTTTTATAGCTCTGTCGGCGAGATAGAGCGATCTTTTTCACATCACGCGCGCGGTGACGTCAGCACGTGACTCGTTCTTACTTTAACCCGCAGCGTCTCGGTATTTATCGCAATTGAATGAACAGGCGCGCGTGACTGAATCGTTTTAGGCGTGCGCATAGAAAATCGCTGTCGTAGGACTGTTGCTAGGATTGGCTGCAAGGGTGTAAACGGTGGCAGATGCTATTAATTAGAGCCGTTTGATGGGGAGGCGTTATACCGTTTACTGGTTTTGTTTTTATGTCTAGCCTAAATATTCAGTAGTATTCCTCTTGTTGCAGCTCTCTGACAGATTAAAACGAAACCATGGAAATGATTAGATGAGAAAACTGCCTAGTATTAATACCTTTGGCCGCTTGCTCTCCAGGGTTTCAGGCATAAGTTTCCCAGCCCGTAAAGCAGAGGAGAGTATCAGACTATTTGATAGAGTTTCCCCTTCATCAACGTGGAGGGTGGAATATATGGGTTTGCACAAACATACAGTTTTAAAGAATATTTGGCATATAATCACAGTATAATAATAATTATAATAATACTGTAATACTCTGCTTTCATGAACTACCCTCAGCTGTTCAAAGTTTTATTTATTTTACATACTTTATCTCAGAAGTCATTAAATTACTCCTATGAAATCAACCAGTATTATTATCCTATATTACAGGCCAGAGGATTAGGGTGTAATCCACATTGCAGCACCTTTCATTTGTGAGGCAGCATTGTGCTCGGTTTTTGTTTTTTGCTAATACAACTGCTGCTAATGTGGCACATTGGAATACAATGTTGCATCTTCTCAGTATATATATATATATATATATATATATATATATATATAAAGGATTTTCTTGTTTTACAGAAGTAAGTGTAATGCCTCGTATTTTTTTTCCATGTAACATTTTTACAAATCCATTTCATTTGTTGAGGCATTAGGGGGAGAAGAAAAAAAAAAGAAGGGAAAAAGAAAGGGGGAGTGGGGGGAGGGAAGATGGATGGGGGTGGGGTCGGGTGGTGATGTTTCTATTATGCTTAATGTATGTAGAGTTTGGTGTCAGCGTTACTTGTGTTCCTTTGGTGGTGAGAGAGGTTGGGGTTGGCCTAGGGTGTGATTGGCTGTGGTGATCTTTGTTTTCATGTGTGAGTGGGGTGGGTGGGTGTTTCGGATCAGGTTAGCCATATTGATTTGTATGCTGTTGGTGGATTATTGTCACTGTCTTGTTGGGCTGTGTATGTGATAAAGGGGAGCCATACCAGGGTGAAGGCGTCTTCTTCTGTTTGTCCCTGTGTCAGATTCAGTTTATTAGTTAATTTTTCTAGTAGGGCTGTTTCCCATACTATTTGGTACCATTGGTCCATGCTTACTCCTGACAGGTCTCTCCAGTGTCTGGTTATGGTGTTTCTGGCTGCTGAAAGTAGGTGGGTTATGAGTTCTTTGTGGTGTAAATGGGCATTGTTGTCTTGGAAGATGTTTAGTAGGGCCAATTCTGGGGTAATATCTAATACTTGCTTAGTTATTTTACATATTTCTCGTATGGCTGTTGTCCAGAATAGTTGGATTTTGGGACACTCCCACCACATGTGGAGGTATGTGCCTGTGGAGGTGCACCCTTTCCAGCATTTTGGTGAGGTTCCTGGGCGTATTAGCGCTAGTTTCCTTGGTGTTAGGATCTTCTCAGTTTATAATAGCTTTCCAGAGTGTGTGCCATTGTAAAGTGCAATAAAAAGTATTAGTGTCTTAAGTCACTTGTACTGCATCTTGTATCACGCAATGTGAGAAGTGCTTGAAATGTCAATTTAAAAACCAACACCTGTGTGAAATGTGCACAAGCAGTTAATGCATTAATGGAGAAAGTGATCTATCCACCAAAGGAAGAATCTGGATCCTCAGAAATCTGGTGGAGATAGGAAATAACACTACACAGCAAGGGCAGGTAATGGAAAGTGGTTGTCTTACCTCAAAAATAATATTGTAGAGATGACAAGTGTTCAGAAAAGCAATAACCAAGGTGATCAAGAGTCTAGAGCATTCTTCTATAGGAAAGTTAACAACATTTAGAGCTCTTGATTAAAAAAAAAAGCAAGTGAGGGAAAACCTGATGGAGGTTTCAACAATTATTCAAAGCCTGGAAAATGGCTAGAGAGAGAATTTTGCCTCTTTTAATATACTAGAACCCAGGGACACCCAGTTAACCTTAATGCTGGAAAATTCGGGTCAAATAATAGAAGGGACTTCTGCACGTTGCACACTACCACAAGATGCAATGATGGCTACCAACTTGGATAGCTTTAAAAGGGAGAGAGCAGACAAATTTATAATGAATAAGGCTATTAATGGCCAATAGTGACAGTGGCTAATTATCTAGCTATCTGGTTAATTGGCACACAAATGTCAGTGTTACAGTGTTCTGTAAATGGGTCCTAATATCTGCTTTCACAATAAAACAGGCAAGTCCCTCTGCAAAGGGATAGTAATAGCAAAAACCACTAGAGGGCAGAGCAGAATCAGGAAAATACCTGATCTTAAGGAAAACGAAGCTCCCTGTGACTTGAAGTGGGGGGCAGTGGTCCTAGTTTTAATTACGGTAAACACTTTACTTGGAATTAATGTGCTTCTAAACCCTGATTTAAATTGGTAATGTTTATTGTTGATTTTCACTAATAAATGCTGCAGAACACTGAGCTGGTACTGAATCATGCACTCGGAGAGCATTATGCAATTTAAATATTTCTTCATTTGGTTTCGGCCAGCTATGAAGACCGGACTCCAAAAGCTTCTGCTTTAGCCCCTTGTGAGTTGAATATTTTTATATCTATCAGAGTTCACATTTTCAAGATATTGCTGCAGTGTAAAACTAGAGTAGAATCTGGTGTTTGTTTTAAATTGAGATTCTGTGACAGAATCAGTGTGCACATGTTCTGCTAAATTCTGCTTATTGTTGCCTGAGATTATAGGCCACTTGCACTCCTCTAAACTCAGATACAAAGAAAAGGTAACAATGCTCATCTTTTGTTTTTCTTCTTTTGTATCACTGAATTCTTTCTGATTTAATAGCCATATTTCAAGTAAATCCACTGAAAATGAGTATGACTTAGTTGACTGTTACCCTTATTTATTTAGCATTAACCTTGTTCTCTTGTTTTGTTGTTCTCCAGGCGATCCCTTGCAGTTTACACAGAGCATAAAGCCAGCTCTCCAAGCCTCTGCTTCCCCCTGAGAATAGGGCAGATCCCTGGCTTTACTATTCTGGGCTTAGACTTCCAAGAGCATGGAACCCAAAACAAAGTAGCTGCATGGGGATTCCTGAATTTCAAGGGTGGCAATCACACACTGACTAATGCAGTTGTGAAACTTTAAAAAGAAAACTTTAAAAGCTTTAAAAAGCAAAGAGATGTCTAACATTTTTCCTGCAGTCAGGACACTTCCAGAGTTCCAAAGTACCCTTCCACTTCAATATTGAGCTCAAAAGGAGTGGGGCAATCTTCAGGTTTCAAGCAGAAGACACAGCACTAATTGGCCAGCTCCCATGATGTCACCAGTAAAGCTTCCTGCACCAAACCCCAGAGCAGTTTTGAAAAAATTTCCTTTCATGAATCCTTAGCTTATTCAAAAGAATGCTACGTGCGCATTGTTTTATGAGCTATGCTGTCTTGTTCTTTCAAGACAAAGCTCTTTAGCTTTGGCATAGCTTTTAGACACTAGTGAAGGAATGCTAATTAATGAGCAGTCAAGGCCAGCTTGAAATGCAGATCACACTTGAGCTCTGCCAATGTGGGAATGAACTAGTGTGGCAAAGAGGGCTGAAATAAATAGTTTTGCCCTTTGAATGCGGAGAATAGAGTGAGAAAATGGTCTGGGTTTGGAGCATGTTGGGGAAACATTGCCAAGAGGTTTCTGGCTATTGTAGCAATTCATGGGGCTATGGAAGAGCTGGGCTGATTTGCTCAGGGATCAGGGATATTTCCACTCTAGGCAATTACTTTAAACTAGTACTTCTCAAACTTTTTGCAGTGGCATAAGCCTTCACATCAAACAAAATGTCAGGGCAACCCTTCCAGCAAATTCTTTTAAAATACCTACTACTAACAGCACCAAACAACATAGTGCTGATTTAAAATAGTGTTTTCAGATCAATTTTATTCTGAATTTAACAATATTACAAACACCTTATGTAGTGAAAGTAATTAATGAAATTAATACTGAATGAAAATTGGGGAGGGAGTTGAACACTGGAAGAGCCAGCAAAGGAGAGTGGCAACATTTAAAAGCAGCAACTCTAGCAGCAAAGTTATTGAAAGTTTTCGTCTCCTGGTCTCTGATGGAAAATGCTTTTGTTTTGTTATGTTTATGATCTTTAAGGCCTAGGCTTATATCAGAGATACTTCTTCACCTAAAAGAGCAGCATGTTTAACCCCTGCCATCAAGCTGCAGCCCAGTGGAAGGTGCTAAGAGGAGGGACAATATATTCCCATGAAGAGGGTTTGAACAGCACATTTAAGCCAGTAGGGGGTGCAGTCAGGCAGCATTGCTTACCTGCTTTCCAGCGCTTTATGTTACTGCCAGCTGCTGAGAGGGAGAGGTAGTGGTCACAGCGCCAGGAGTACCAGATTGGCCCTGCTGCTGTGCTCTCACCATGCTAAACTCCCAGCTGCCTCACCTCTGCCACTCTTGTAACCAGCAATGAAACATGGCCTGGGAGGCCAGGTAACCAATGCCACCCCACTGGCCGCTAGTGATACAGCCCTTGGAAAGCACAGTGAGGGGCAGAGGGAAAGGGAAGGGATCTCCAGGGCAATGGCTTGAGTGGTGCATTTAATCCCCATGACTGCAGCTCAATGGAAATCGCACATTGTGCATGCTTGTCTACCATTACAGCTGCATTCTTTGCAGATCCTCTTGGACTGCTTTGTGGAACTCCAGGGTTCTGCAGAAAATAGTTTGAGAAATGCCGTTGTATACTATCCATGCTTTGTTCATTCACTTTTTACATTATGTGATAAAACCATTGTCTTGCTTTCCACGTGCTTGTTTCTCCTTCAGACCACAAAAAATTCTGACTTTGTTGTTGTTGAAAGAGTATAATACGTAGTGGCGTTTTCTTCACAGGTGTAAATTTCCATAGTGTTTATATACATATATGCTGTTCTGATTGTTCCACAAGTGCCAGCCAGAATGATAACCCCTCTCCTAACCTTGTATGCTGCTCTGGGAGTTACCCTCACACACACACACACACAGGAAATTGTGAGGGGCACAAAGAGGGAGGAAAGGGGTGATTGTCTCACTGTAGTCTCAGAATTATTATTATTATTATTATTAATTTTAATATTGGGTGGCTTCCAACAGAATATTAAAATATTATTTTAATATTATTGGGTGGCTTCCAACAGAATATAAAAATACAATAACCTATTAAACATTAAAGGCTTCCCTAAACAGGGCTGCCTTCAGATGTCTTTTAAAGATAGGATAGCTGCTTATTTCTGAAGGGAGGGCGTTCCACAGGGCGGGTGCCACTACTGAGAAGGCCCTCTGCCTGGTTCCCTGTAACTTGGCTTCTCGCAGCAAGGGCCCTCAGCACCAAAAGGCCCTCAGCACTGGACCTCACAAGAAGACCTTGTGCTGGCTTCTGCTGACAGGACTCATTGAGTAAATCCCATCCATTATGAAGATTATTCTAATCAAATAAATATATAATGGATTCATAGATAAAATAATTATATTTACTTACAAACCCACATAATTTTTTTGAAGAAGAATCTAATGGTTCATCAGAATTTATATGGAACACTTTGATTGTTCTACTTCTTTGAGTACAAACAATCCTATTCAGATATACCTGTAATGTTCTTTAGCTATACAGAGTGTTATCCCAAGATCTCTTGGGAGACCATATTTCTGTCAGAACAGATTCCCAAAAGGTCTTGACAGTTGGGCATGCCCATGTGACATGAAATATGTTTGCCTCAGGGGTATTACAGTTTTAGCTTTATTTCCTAGCCCCTGGGTACATTTTATTCAGTCTAGCAAGCGAGAGTCAGATTGTCCTCCTGTTTTCTCTGTTCGTCTTTCTTTTCAGAACATTTAAAAAATCTGACACACACTCTCTCTCTCTGGCAGAATGCAACAGTACAATCTCCACAGGTGCAAATCGCTAGAGCACTACTCTTACGCCTTTTAAAAGAGGCATAGTGGAAGAGTAACTGGGCAGCCCTAGGAGTTGCCAGTCCAGAACCACCCTAAGACTACTTATGCGTGTCCAGTTCTCTGCTTACATAACTTAGCCACTTGCAAATTTTACAAAGGCATCCTAAGACTCAAACATGGTACTCAGTGCTAAAGTGAATGCTCCATCAGTGCAAGGATTTCTGCTTGCACAAGGGAACATTCTCTCCTACCCACCAGCACAACAAAAATAAATAAATCTGTTCTAGGATTTTCCTTAACCTCCTGGAACAGATTTGGGGAGAGCATAGGGGGTGCGTGGAGGGAAGAGAGGAAGGGGAAATGCTTATTATTATTGGCTGCTGTCAACCTTCATCTCTCTTTGTTTCTGGGCTCACATTCTGCTTCATTAGCTGCTGCTTGTGAAATGGAGAGGAAATTGAGTAAGATAGCATCTCATCATGTGCCCTTTCTTTACATGGCAAATGACCCTCTTGAGAGTGTCTTGCTCGAGGAGGTGGGGAGCTTTAAACAGTATTATGTAACCCATTTAAGTCGGGACTCGGGAGCCAAATGACAGGTGGGGAGATGAATACTGGTTATGTATGGTAAATGTTCACTTTCCCAATAAATATATGTTTTTTAAACACTTGATTCTAACTTCTTTTAATTAGTATTCCTTTGAAATTACTGGGCACTTGAGGAAAAGACCCCCTGGGTAGCTTTTCTCCATCAGGAAGTGGCAGCTGGAAAGGGCTCTGCTAAAGTGTTGCCCTCACAGTTAATTGGGACTTAAGTCTTCATTTGTGCAATTAAATGCTGCATATATGCTAATAGTGTTTTTAAAGCTCTTCTATGCTTCAGGAAGAGAGTGATGAAAAAAGAAAAGCTAGTGCTTTCTGCAACTTCCTACTGGTTAAAAGAGCAGCCCCATTCAACTTAAGGCAATATATTGGGAAATTAGCATGGAACAGGGGAGAACAGAATGAGCTTTCAGAAGTAACTGGAATCTGATTTTTATCATTCTACCCTTCTTAGTTTCCATAAGATACCACTTCAGCTATTGAACTCGATCCTCTGCTTATGCTGCAGTAGCTGAACTGAGGATTAGGATCAAATTCCTGGTGGAAGTAATTTGTGGATACTGGGCAGCTGAAATACTTCCAGATCTCAAGCTTGACAGTATTCTTCAAGGGAATCTTTTGTTCCTGTGATTTTCCCCCCTTAAGAAATAAGGATACTGCACTACAATTATGGCCAAAGCCTACACAGAGGTGGTGAAAAACTATTTTTAAACAGTTACATTAAATGAAAATGTAGGTGAGAAATATATTAGTTCAGAACATTTATCAGTTTTCTGCCGCTTGCACTTTGATTTGCTTCACATTAATCTTCGCCAGAATAGTTTTTGGTTCTCAGTTAATTGTTTTCAGCACTTCATTGATTTTATTTAAGAACCCTGCAATATCTGAACCCAAGCCACACATTTTTATTTATATGAATGCTCACAGCAGTTTTATAACAGTTGCCTGTGTCAGTCCAAGTACTCTAGTTTCAGGTTCATCATTCCACCATGTCCTTAGATTACCTTTGGCAACCAGCTCATGAATGCTGCTGAGCTTATAAACAAAGGCCTCCTCTATGCTTCAGCCATACTAGATGCTGCCAAAAGGAGGTCCCATAGTTTCATTGAAATGTGCATGCTTTATATGTATACAGTCAAGGGTCCAGTTACTGGCACAGTCACTTAAAATAATTTCAGGAAAACCTATGTCTTAAGACCATGGAGAGCTTTGGCTAATCAGCATAGACAGTATAGTATTGGACAAGATGGATCTCAAATATTTAAAAAGTTGAAATGTCACTTTTGTTATATTGCCCTCTGTATTTAGAACTGCTTTAGTTTTCCCATTGTTGATCCTTTAGCAACTAATCAAGCCTTAGTATCTATTATCATGTTGGTTGTTCCTAAGCCAAATATCTAATGCCGTTAAATAATTTCTCCCGAGCTAAAAAAACCCTCTCTCTGATCTTGTTTTTTACCACTGAGTTGTAGCCTGAAGGCTCTGGCCTTGCAACCTCATCCATATGCCATCTCTTTGATCTCAGCCAGGTTCACCCTTCTTCTACAGCTAAATATTTATCACCAGCATTTCTGAGTTCTTTGGTGTTCAAGTTAATAAACCTGAAGATCAATTTACATGGAGTGTGAGTTGGACAGGGATTTAGCTGACGGGATGGACACACTGCCTAATGTGTCTTGAGGTCAGGACAGTCAGCCATTTGGCCATCCTGGTGTACCTTTTCCTTCACATACATCCATGTTTAATTGAAGCTAAAGGTTAGCCGTATCAGTCACTTGTAATTAGGGTTCTGAGTGAAACGTGATCATTGGAAATCCATGCAATGAAGAACAATAATTTATGGAACATGAGAATTCTCTTTCCATAATGCACTCTGTATGTGATCTGTGGGGAATAGATCTCTCTATTGCTACTAGGGATGGAAGGATCTGTCAATTTTGATTCATTCGGTTTCTAATTTTTTCCATCTTAAATTTGATTCTATACATTTCTGTGCAATTTATGAATTTTTTTTTTTTAATCCTTATGAAAATTCACCAACATTTTAGTGCGAATTTCTCCTAATAAACTCATTTTTCTACACAGCTTTAACTAACAGACACATTTTTACATGTTATTTTCATGAATATGTTAATTTTTATGTACACTTTTACTTAATATGTACTTTTTTGTAAAGATTGGTTAATTGGAGAATTGCATTGCAAAATCTGATGGAAGTATGGATTTCAAAGAATGACTGTTTTGGTTCTCTATTATTTGCGGAAGTACAAATTTGATAAATTCAGCTTCTAATGTAAATCTGAAACAAGTTTCTTTTTCTTCTGCTTTGATCACCTTTTGATTTGGAGTCATACATCTTGACATTTTGCCAAATATCCATATTACTTGTATTAAAAGCTGAAATAGATCTGGTTTGAAACATCTTGCTAATAAACAGTGCTTACTTCTTAAGCACTGCTGGATCAAATTCAAAATAAATACAGCAGTATTTGCCAGCCACAATTTGTCTGGAAAAGGTTTCATTTGGCCCTCCAGTTAGAATCTCTTCAAAGAATTGTTTTACTAACATGGCCCTGAAATTTAGAGTCTCGTGCTCTACCAACTGAGCCATCCTCTGCTGAGTATTGCACTCTCCAAATATATCAGACTCTTCTAATACTATATGAGGTTTATTTTGTTGCTTAAAAAGGTAAAGGTAAAGGGACCCCTGACCATTAGGTCCAGTCGTGACTGACTCAGGGGTTGCGGCACTCATCTCGCTTTATTGGCCAAGGGAGCCGGCGTACAGCTTCCAGGTCATGTGGCCAGCATGACTAAGCCGCTTCTGGCGAACCAGAGCAGTGCACGGAAACGCTGTTTACCTTCCTGCCGGAGCAGTACCTATTTGTCTACTTGCACTTGACGTACTTTCAAACTGCTAGGTTGGCAGGAGCAGGGACCGAGCAACGGGAGCTCACCCCGTTGCGGGGATTCGAACCGCCGACCTTCTGATCGGCAAGTCCTAGGCTCTGAAGTTTAACCCACAGCGCCACCCGTGTCCCTATATTGTTGCTTAGTTCACCAATATTTTAATGGCAGATATAACTGTTCTCTGTTTGTTGTGAGAAACTGGGACATGCAGTGAGCATTTCAAAATTTAATATTAGATTGCACTTTTTATATATATAACCACTTTAATGTCTATCCTGGCTCCTGCTCCAAACACCATGACTGAGGCTCTTCTGTGTGAGTTGGAAGAAAAGTTATTCAAGGCTAGGTATGGTGCAGGTCAGGCTATAGGTACAAAGCATGAAAGGGGTGGCTAGTGAGTTGAAGAACCATATCAAGAGTCTGAGATTGGATGAAAGCTGCAAAGATGTTTTGACAAATGGCTATGTCTCTCCCACCAGGCAAGACGTAGCTCGCTCACTCATGACACTCCCCATAGAGTTTACTTGGAGGTGCGATTTTCGCCAAGGGACCTGGGTCTGTTCCCTAAAGCAGAGGCAGTGCTGCATTCTTGGTGGTGAAACCGAGATCAGCCCCTCGGGTTGCTCCTCCACCTGTCTAGCCTTCCCTTCTGGCTGGTCAGCATTCAACATCATCGCTAGGGAATTTCTCCAACCCATGGAAGGGGCAGGACAATGAGCCAGCACACCTGCCTCCCCTTCCCTAGTCTCCGCAGGCGAAGGGGCAGGACCTTTTTCCATCCTCTTTCTTCCCACTCTCCCGTTAAAAGCTAGAAAGAAAATGTGGAAGGAGAAATGTTAACGTGTTACCTACAACACAGTGTCCGTCATTCTGTACAGTTTCTTTAGGCAAGTAGAAGGCATGCAGAAGGTGGTTTAATTCCCCGCATACACCTAATATGGACCCAGACACCCACTATCTGCTTTTGAATCTCTCCCAATAATGTAACTTCTCCATGTGCATTCCAGTTCACACTAATTAACAGTTTCACACCCAGAATTCAACACATTTTCAGCTAGGTATTTTTAAAATAACGCCTCATATGTTAAGCACTTTCAGTAAGGAAAAGTTAAATTTTTAAAGGGCTTGTCCCCCCCCCCCGGCCTCCCGCATGCAAGACAGTTTTTTCCATGCAATATTGTGCTGCATCTCTCTAATCTAAGAAGGGGAATTCAGCAGAGGAAAAGAAAGTCCAAGAGGAGAGGAAAGGACTGGGCTCAATCATAGCTGTCAAGCGTCCCTTATTTGGCGGGACAGTCCCTTATCCCAGCGCCATGTCCCGCTGCTGTCTCTTATTGATTATGTCCCTTAAATAAGCTACTGAAGGTAATGGGACCCTTTCTATGTCCAGCTGTCCTTTGTCAACAACAAATTGTTGCTTTTTGTGTGTGTTGAATATATGCTATATGGTAATTTATGGACCTAATAGGTATCTAAAGCCATTTGCATGCAGCAAAATATGTATTTTATCAAAGTAATTGTTGATCCCTTATTTTGGCTGCTGGTCCCTTATTTTCAAATCTATAAGTTGACAGCTATGGGCTCGATTGTGAAAGCATACGTCATTAGTCCTTTGGAATTCCTCTGCTAATCAGATTAGACAACACTGAATTAGTTGAGCAATGGTCTGACTCAATAGTCATAAATTTATTCTCCCTCCCAGGACTCTTCCTCAGATTTCTCCTCCAGTCGCTCCCTTGTTCTCAGTGTCTTTCCCCCGCCCCCCAACCACACAGAGAGCATGGCCTGGCATGAGCAACTAGAAGGTACACCAGTGGGGACTATCAGTTGTTGAGGTCATTCCTATATTCCAGCTACTTAGGCTGGAAGGAAGTTGATCATTGACTGGGAGATTTCATTCAAGGATGGCCACTTAGGCATCTCCAAAAGACAACAGGACATATTTGCAGAATTGCAGATCAAGAAATAATTGCTATCATTTAAACTAGAAATATGACATTTCATCATAGTGGAGACGATTGTAGCATGTAAAGGTAAAGATAAGGTCAAAGACCCCTGGACAGTTAAGTCCCGTCGAATTCAACTATGGGGTGCAGTGCTCATCCCTGCTTTCAGGCAGAGGGAGCCGGCGTTTGTCCTCATACAGCTTTTCCGAGTCGTGGCCAGCATGACTAAACCGCTGACCTGGTGGTTTAAACCACAGCGCCACCCACGTAGCATGTAGGCCAAATCACTCTGCTGTCCAGGTGCTGAGTGGCAACTTTGAAGTCCCTGCTTTCCCTTGCCATGATTTCATATTTAAACTGGACTTGGACTGGGTAGCCCTTCCCATAATGGACCCCTCCAAATACAAGACTGCTCTTCTAATGGAGAGAGGACTGCCTTCCGCAAAGTAGGGCAACTGACCACATTGACCAGAATACTGCCCTCACCAACGTTGGTCTTGTGGATTTCTGCCAATGCACTTGAAATTAAAAATTAAAACAAATCTAACTCTGGAGGATGTAAACAGCACCCTCTCTGGAACCTGCTTTCTGGACCAATTGATTCACTTTGCTTCAAACTGAGGCCTGTCCTGCAAGCCAATTTACTTTCACTCACATTCATTCTCTCTCTCTCTCTCTCTCTCTCACTCACACACACACACACACCCCACACCTCCTAGGAAACACTGTCATTCAGCCTTTTAAGCCATTCAACCTTTTACCCACCTTTGATATTTAATCTTCTCTTCACCTTCTTGAACAAATTCAAAGGTTTGTAAAGAGTGCAAATGACATTTCAGTAGACAAACTTAGGCTATCCTTGGCTGATATAAATTAAAGATGGAGGCCAAAAAGGGAAATGGTGTACTGATTGAAGACTTGACTTTTAATTTGCCCTCATCCTGCGGGTTTTTCAGACTGTACCTGCATAGCTACAATGTGCCCCCTTTATAACAATGGTGAATAGAAACTGAAATCTGCCATCACTTTAGCTGATGTCTAGGCTGTTCCTTAAATGGTTAAAATTCTAAACTTGTGCTATAGATTAGGGAATCATCTCCTTTCAATCTTTGTTCTTTCTAGACGATCTCTTACCTTTCGGGACCAAATAAAAAACATTGTGACTAGGGAACAACTGATCCCCAATTCAGTAGTTAGCTGAGTCTATCAATGTGCACGGCGGGAATAATGTAACTATGAATTACTTACCAGTATGTTTGTGGGTAGACTGGCATCATCTACAGCAGAGAGGAGGAACCCGTGGCCTCCATGGACAACAACTCCATCATCCCAATGAACATGCTGGCTGGGGCTCATGAGGTGAATTGGAGTCACCTAGAAGGCCAGAGTTCACCACCTTTGACCCATAGTGGAATTACTCCTAAATAAGCATGCATAGTACGGAACGTTCAGTCTTGCTCAGCCATTACCTTTTCTGCTACTTCATTGTGTGTTATAAACTTCTGGAGTTCCATATCACATGGGTGATGGTTCACATCACGACTTCCAGCAGTTGATCTACCTGCTCAGAGGTGGTTGATACTGGTGTGGGGGAGCAGCCATGTGATTTGGGCAACCTGGGTTAATGCAGCTGTCCAGAAGTGGAAATGTGGAAATCAAACACATGGGAACAACAACTTTATTACAAAGTTGACATTTGTCCAGGTTGAAGTGAAGACTGACCCAAACATGTCAATTTCACAGGTAGGGTATCTATGGGTCAGTTTTTCTGAGGCAAAGAGACTTCTACCAGGTGTCAAGTTCTTGCCCTGTCCACAAGGTTCAAATTCTCTCTCTCTCTCCAATTTGTATTTAAAGAAAAACAGATCAGTACCCCACAGGAAATGGCACAATCTTCAGCCACAGGATTTCTTTCAAGAGGAATACTAGCTCAGTTGTAGAGCACATTCTTTGCCTGCAAAAAAAAAGTCCCAGTTCAATCCATGGTATCTCTAGGCAGGGCTGGAAAAAGGCTCTTGCCTGAAAGCTGAAGAGCTGCTGCATGTCGGTTTTGACAATGCTCAGCTAGATGGACCAATGATCTGACCTGGTACAAGGCAGCTTCTTCCTCTGTTTACTACTGAGCTGCCTTTTCTCATGGGAAAAAGCATGGAGAAAAGACAAACAAGCAGGCTGGACAGATGGGAAAAACCCTGAAGGCTGCAAAAGGCCCAGGAGCTGCTCAGCGACACTGGTGTAGATGAAAGCCTGGCTTTTCTCATCCCTGCTGTGCAGCTCTTACTCATTCAGCCATCATTGGACTTAAATCAATGACATGTTAATCAATAGGAGATCAACACAGCACATTCAGCGCTAGAACAGATGTGTTCTGCTTGGCAGTACACCTAGCGGCAGGAGTTGTGTTTTAAAAAAACAAAGGTGTTAGATCTTTGTGAAAAAGTTTATGCTATGGGTTACATCAATGGAAATGTCACATTTTGCAAGCAACCCCCTCACACCAACCTTGTTACTCTTTATTATGCAAAAAGTAAAAAATCTCTCCCCCCCATCTGCTTCAAAGTTATGCATTTAAAGCAGCCCAAATGCTTCCAGTACTTAGCAATAAGACTTGCTTCTGAGTAGACATGCATAGGATTGTGCTGTCATTGCCTAGGATAAGGTTTGGTGCTTCCCAATTCTCCAAGCAGTGAAAAATTCCAGGGCAGCTTTTCCATAGCTGTCAACTTACAGATTTGAAAATAAGGGGCCAGCCTCAAAAACAAGGGATCAGTAGCCAAAATAAGGGATTTTAGTCAACCAGCTCCTTTCCTTTCCCCCATAACAGTCAATCGAAGGAGCCTCCAAAACAAATCCACCACCCCCCACGAGATCGCCACCTGCCATTGTACTCAACCAGCTCCTTTCCTTTCCCCCCATCATGTGCCCCCGCTCCAGAAAGACCTTTTCCCCAGCAAGGGTAAGTGGGCTGTCGATGACGTATCCATCCGATTCCGAGCACAGGTATGTTCAACTTCTGAGCCCCTCCGAGCCAAAGGAAGAGCCCAGCCAGCAGCCAAACGAAGCCTCAAGCAGTGGTTCCCACAGCGCAGCAACCCGGCAAAGGGGATGCAGCAAGGAAAACCACCGTCACTTCTCCGCTGGGAAGCGCTGAGCAAAGGCGAGTCCCCAGGCAATGTGGCCAGGCACAAGGCATGCAAGCTCCACCCCCCCCAGTCGTTCTTAGACTCCTTATTGGATGAGCAACACAGCCAAGCAGCACAGTTGGAGCCTCCCTGGCTGGCAGGGAGGGACCGAGAGGAGCTGATTCCTTTGAAACCCAGGAAATTTAAGGGACATCATCAATAAGGTACAGCAATGAGACACGGCGCTGGAATAAGGGAGTTTGCCGCCAAATAAGGGACGGTTGACAGCTATGAGCTTTTCCTTGATTTCCCAGCATTGGAAGAGACTGATAGCATTTTATTTTATTTTATTTTTTGTCAATCTACAAATATACAACTAGAGCCTATGTGTGCATGTGCACTCTTGCCAGGCATACAATCTGTTATCTCACCTCAGATCTCAAGAAAGAGGAAAGGCATCTTCAGCTCCAGCTGCTTTTTGCCTTCAGATCAGGCTCTCCTGTCTCTCTGCAAAATAGAAAATAAAAAGCTAACCAAAACACTCTAACACCAGCCCCTTCCCTTTATATTCAGGGAGGGGGAGTCAAGGGATGTAGCTTCTTCCAAGCCTCCCCCCATTTAAAGTGCTCGTAGCAAGATATCTCAACTATTTCCTGACCATTAACTCCCATTGAGGAACTAGCTATCTAGGCCAGTCTCCATAACAAAGGAAGATTGTTCAGTCATATAACAGTTTTCAGCCCTTTACAAAGGCATGCCTAGGGGCAGCACTTGTCTGATGATGGTTTGTGAACGCACCCTCCCTGTTTAGGGAAGTTTTTAATGTTTGATGTTTTATCCTGTTTTTAATATTCTGTTGGAAGCCACCCAGAGTGGCTGGGGAGGTCCGGCCAGATGGGCAGGGTATAAGTAATAAATCAATTGTCATCATCATCATCATCTCACATTCTCCAGCAATGCAGAGTTCTACAGCCTATGTACCAAGGGTGGGAAATCTGTGACCCTCCAGATGTTTCTTGACTCTTTTTGCTTACTGTATGTTTTTGACATTTTACCAACTTTTTTGTTACTCCATTTTTAATTTTTTAAAATTTATCTATACAGTTACGTAGACTAGAACCCTTGAACCTAGCCTAGCCAAGTTCAAGGGGTCAATAGTTTGCATATTCAGGAGGAATGGGGAGCCTTGCACCTGTAGTGAGATGCTGGTGTCACTCATCTTGGTGATTATTGAGAGATGTGTCCCCCCATCCCTGCAAAGTAACTATGCAAACATTTCCATGAGAATCCAGAGGATAGTCTGGAATGCAATATAACATCACAACTTTGCATGTTCAGAACATGCAAATTGGTTCAGGCTTCAAGCACAGGAGTTGGGTCACTGATTAATAGAGCTGAACGGCTGCAGGCTGGCCACAAATTGAACACTGCTGTGTACTGGGTAAGCAATGCTAAGAAAGTAAGGCAAAGCATCACAATAATACAGAGGCATAACTGGCTCCACGCGTCCCACTATCCACACTAAGTTCCTATTCCTTAAATGGCAGCTTTCAATTGGATACTGCAGACCAAAATTGTGACATGTGCTATTTCAGTTTTTTCTTAGTTCTTTACTCACCAGTGTTCGCAGTTTTGCATTTAAAAGGCTTTGGAAATCAAGAACACCAATCCAGCTTCTGTAACTTTCCTGGAAAGTAATGGCATGTTTTTTAGCCAGTCAGTCAGCCTCACACCCACAGTTAACTTTTCTTATTGACTTTTATCTTTCTTCAAGAAAAGCTTTGTGGATTGATGCCTGAGTAATTGTGGCTTTTATTGGCCTGGCATATTGTTAAGTTTGTGGCTAATGAATAGAAATGTAGAGCTGATCATTGTGAATCTTTCAAAGTGGTCGGCGCAACAGCCTGGGATCTGCAGCGATTATTACACTCAAGGAAATAAGCCCGCACAGTATTGATTTTCTGGAGAAGGGTTTTTTCAAACATGGCTATGCAATGCATTAGACAGGGAAGCAGATTTTTCATGGGCTGCTATTACCAAGCAGTATTGGATAGCTTTACATAATGCCATTCTACCAAGTGGCAAACACACTGAAGAAACTGTAATTTTTTAAGAATAGTCTGTAATTATACTAGCTTTCATCTAGTGAACAGAGTCATAATTGCTTTGTGGGGAAAAAATATGGTTGATCTTATTTAACTATAAATCAGGTTTTTTAAAATCATAATTAGCATTCAGTTTTGAGGTCACACAAAGACCCTTTATCATGTTTTAAGATAATCAAATCTCAAGTGCTCTTCCAAGAAAAATTGTATTTCAGTACACATGCTTTGATCACTATAATTTCCTTCGTATTTTTTTTCAAGCTAAATTGTAAATTTTGATTTTCTTTCATACCATGTTTTTGTTTCATGCACATAGCAAACCCATCACCTCCTAATGTTAGGCAAATAGTACTTTTCAAGCTGGTTTCCTAGGAAACAAATATAAGTGGCAATAGTGCACCATTCATTAATACATCGAACAGTTAAATAATAATTCAGATTTATTCCTGTCTCGCCCTGTCCTGAATTGAGGGCAGTGAATACAGTTTTAAATGATAAAAATGTGGCAGAGGTTTCTCAATAGAAGCTGACCATGTTCATGGGATGAAGGGAGAGGGGAAAGAGGGCAAATGTAGACAAAACATAAATTATAATATTGATCTTAACAAAATGAAAATATGGAGAACAGGTGACTTTTCTGAGCGAGGGGCGCTGTACATGGGATACCACTCAATCCATCCACCAGCAGGTCTATCTTAAAATGGTGGCTGTGGATGTTTAGTTCGGTTTTGCTTCCTTATTTGATTGTTTTTATAAAGATTGATATTGCTTATTTTGCTCATCAGTGACAATTTTAAACATTAACAAGTAGAATTTGCAATTTACCTGAATCAGTGTAAGTGATCATTAATTGATACTGATAATTTAAAAACCCATTTCTAACTGCTCAGGTAAATAAATCCCTCCAGAAAGAGATGTGTGAGATTTGTGAGTTGCCAGGCAAAAGTGTTCCTTTATAACCATGCCTTTGGCTGATTAAACAATCTATGGGGTTTAAATGGTTTTGTGGTACAAACGATTATTGGTTCCTGTTGTTGTGGTGGTGGTGGTGGTGCATTTTGTGTTCTTATTTTGTATTTCTATGCTGTAAACCACCCTGTGATCTTTGGATGAAGGTTGGTATAGAAATTTAGTAAAATAATTAAGTAAATTGTGATGTTTCTCCATTGACATAGGTAAGAAAGGGAAACCAGGTTTCAAGAATTACAATTGCCAGTCTGCTCTGACTGGTAAGCTTTTCTGCCAAGCCTGGTTGCCAAATCATGGTAAACCATCTCTGTATCATGTAACCTTGGACTTCCAGTCCCTTGCTATTTTCCATCTTATTAAGAAGAGGATACCTATACATCTTTATGACACGTAATGAGTCTTTCTGAGGAAAATTAACACTAGACAGCAGAGCTGGTTCAAATTAATAGGATACTTCATGGTATCTGATTTCCCCCTGCTCCTAAACATTTGTTCCTTAAATGCAGGAACCGATAGCCATAGCCACTGCTTGTGATATAGGGCACTTCCCCTTTAATAAGAATTAAAGGAATTCATTACATGAGGGTTTTTGTGTGTTTTTTAAATACTGTTCCAAATAAGATACAATAACACAAAAGATTTGGAGTGGCCATTGCTAAAGTTATGCTTAACTATGATAGATGCGAACAAGGAGCTGACATGATTTCTCTCCACTTACTAATGCGTTAATTACATTTAAGCTGGATCTTAGCTTTCATTAAACACTCATCTTCTTATTTGCTGCAGAGCAGATCTCTTGAACTGCTATGTCAGTATTTCAATGGTTTGTTTTTCTACTTAAATGTGCTCTCTCCTTCTCTCTCCCCACCACTGCCTTGGTTCCTTTGTACAGCTACATTGTACGCACACAAAAAAGAGTTGCACCGTAGGTCCACTGACAAAATTTGAACAATCATTTCTATGCTGACCAAGTAAAGATATACTGGTAGCAATCCATATCCATTCTGCTCAATAGCAGTAGTTGGACTTTTTTTCAGTGGGGGGTATATTGCACCCAATCAGCTTATTATCATCTCCTTGTGCCCCACTGAAGAAGAGACACTATCTTAGAAACCTTTCCACTTGGATGCTCTGTTAGTCCCCCTATGACCAGCCAAAGAAATGATGATATTCTGATGCTGATGCTGCATTCTCCAGCGATACAGGTCATCTGTATATCTCTTTTTTCACATCTATATAATCACCTCCTGACAGAAATTCCTCATGACAGGAGGCAAAGAAGCAGCAGCTACAAACTGAAATATTTGTCTTTAAAGAAAATAGGATTTCACTCTTCTTCATGGTTGGCCTGATGCTTGAAGTGAATTTTGAATGCTGAATTTTGAATGGAAGAAAGAACTACCCTCAGAAGTCAGTAGGAACATTTACTGTTTTACCATAGCGGGGGTTGAGCACCACTGTGTCAACACCCACCCCCAAAAACCTCAAAGCTAAAGCGAAGAGTTCCTGCTCTAACTCAGTTCTCATTTATTGTGAAACATTTCAAACATAACCCTGCCTGTTATCATTATTATTCTATTTATTGTATAACTTTTTTGTTTGTTTCCCATGTTATTTTCTAAGGAAACACAAGGAAGCTAACAGGTTAAATAACAATACAATACAGTATAAAACAAATTACCTTCAAATCATCTATCATCCAGGTGCTCATTTAATGATAGCATGTAGTACAATACACCCCAAGGATGAATTATTTTGAGAGTGTGCTTAAGAGGGGGGAAACGAGCATCATCTACACTATGATAGTTTCCATTTGCAAGGAAGAAACTAAGATATATGGACTGTGCTGAGCATCCCTCTGGAGGAGCGGCTGTTTCGAGTAACAGACCACTACTTCTGCAGCGTAGAAAAAAATCAGTTACATTTAGTATGAAATGCATGGAGTTATACACACTCTTATTCATAGCTTTACAAAGTGCACACATTTAATGATGTGTATTGTAAAGGGTACTAAAATATTAACAGAGTAGAAAATCCATTTGGAGGCACTTTAGAGGGGCATTTAGCACATACTTTTTCCAGCTTGTGACAGGAAAGGTTTGTCAAAAGAATGTACGAGGAATTCTTAAACAAGCTCAGGGTCTCATCCAAAGCTGCACTTGACATGAGAAATGGTGGCAGATACTCCCCTGGGTTGCATGGATGCAAGCATGGCCCTATTGGCTGATGCAAACAGATAACATCACTGCTGTGAGCCAGCATCTGCCCTATCATTGCCAGGTGGTAACAAACTGTGGGTGCCATCGTATATGGAATGGCCGTTTAAGATGTTTGCTGTGTTTTATTCATTGTAATAGCTCATGTACATTGCAAAGCAGGACAGAGAACCAGAAATATTTTTTAAAAATCAATATCCATGACAGAAATTAGTTTACGGCTAATTTTGTATTTTTGTATTTTAAGGTCTGTGAGGAAACCTGGGATTCCATCAATTTGCAAAACAAGAAAGCAAGCAATTTTTTATTAATGAATGTAGAATGATATAAAACATATTAAAATATGTCACTTGGGTGTGGGTGGGTGGGTGTTATTTAACAATTATTCTTATACTTTTAAAAATAAAAACAAAGTTAAAAAATGCGCATCTGTCTTGCTGACCTTCAATTGTATTTTGCATAACCTTCAACAGAATTCTGCTTGAATCAGTTAGAAATTGTTGTTTGTTTGTTTGTTTTTTTAATAATGTTTATTAAAATTTCACAAGAAAAAAAGAAAAAACCACATTAATGAAGAAAAGATTAACAATAAAAAGAAAAAGTACAAAGGAAAAAAGGAAAAAAACAATTTAAAACAATTTCATCTTTTCCTCACTTCTTTTACATTTACTTGTTTCTCGGACCTCCTCTTACCCCCCTCTTTTGTATTCTAATTAAATATGTTAATCCAACAATTCCTTTCCCTCCTTTTTAATCCTAATCTTTAAGAATCAGTTAGAAATTGTTGAAAGTGTGTCTCAGGTGAACAAAGTTGTTGCCTTTTCTGAACCTAGGAGTTGCATCACTGGAAAAATTCATCACTGTGATTCTAAGGCAAGTGTGAGATGTCTGACTCATTCTCCAGATCAGGTCTCTTTCATTTAAACCATGCCATCTTTCTACCTAAAGTCTCCAGCCCAGCCCTTCACCAGCCTGGTGCCTTCCAGATTTTTGGGACTACAGTTCTCATCAGCCCCAGCCATCTGAGTTGTAGTCCAAAACATCTGGTATGAAAACAAATTTGGAAATACAATGTGTGAATGTGGAGAGCAGGGATTAGTGAGCTAGTTTTGTCTCCCTGCATTGCTGTTTCTGTCTCCAATGAGTTGCGCAGACAACTGTCTGAAGTGGCGATTCTATGTCAGATACCTGGAACTTCCATGAGCAGAAGCTGCTGCCTGCTTCAGAAAGTCTTCCTCCAACTTGTGGAGGGTGAATAAAGTCTATTTTGGAGTCTTGTAACCGTGCAACAGATTTGTGGAGACACCCACCTGCCAATCACCTGCTGTAACATTTTTTGAGGTGCAATGCCAGATTCTCCACCACCTCTGGGGTTGTTTTTTTAGCTGTACCCATTTAGTATAACAAACTCTAACACTTGGCTTCACTCTCATGGGACTCTTCCCAATGTCTCCATTATCGGATTTGCTTTGAGCTCTATTGCCCTGACTTGTCTCCACCATCAAGCTTTCCCTCCATACCAGAAATGTTTAGTTCTAGAGCTAGCAATCCTAGTTTCAGAAACGACTCAAACAAATAAGAAAACTCTCTAATATAAGAAAACAAAACCAACACCCCACAGTTCAATCAGGCACATTAATCACTGTAAATAGAATTCTAACTAGAATCTCTTAATTGGGATGATGCATTGTGACACAATGTATTCCATTCATGGTTTTCCATTAACTTCCATGCGACCTATTTCTCTACCTTGTGACAGGTTCGTATTTTGCTGTGAACCTAAGAGGATGCATTGCAGTTTGTTTTCCAATCTTCACGGATGAGAGCTTCATTAGAAGAATCTTTTCTCATTAACCACTGAAATAATTTATGTGCAGGGGGATGTGTTTTTCCCTTCTTGTCTTCCTTTGTTTTCCTGCCTTCTCTAGGTATTTGAAGAACTGTATCTTTGGAAAGCAAGGAAGGGACATGTAGTTTTTGGTCCTCAAAGTCAATTTAATATGACAAAGCATGAAAAAAAGAAGAGTACGGTTTTACTTCCACCTTCTGGGTTGTTGAAAGGTGACAGTGGCCCCTCTCATATATTATACATGTTGGATATACCATGTCCCAAGTGTCAAAACTCTGCCTTAGAGGTGAGCCTGACTTCACATGGTCACACCTGTATGGTGTTGCTATTTGGGAAATCTAGTGCAACAGTGCGCAGAAAGAAATAACCTGGCAAAGCTGCTGGTTGTAAAGACAAAGAAAACTTAAACTTCATTAAGGCAAACAAAGCCATTTGAAGTGTAGGTTTTATACTTGGCCAAGCTAGAGCCAAGAAGTGAACACTAGCACATGCTAACTTGGACTAACTTGGAAAAGAAGCAGGAAGGAAGTAAAGCCTGAGAGGAAATGATCTACTTTACCCAGTGTCGTAGCATTGGAGGGCCACAGGGGCAGTTGTCCCAGGCACAAAATGGTTAGAGGCAAAAAATTTCAACACCTCAGTACAGCTGCATGCTTCCCTTGCTGGGCTCCATTGAAATGACTTCTCCATGCAAACCAGGAAGTGACCTCTCCAGAGAACGGAACAGCTTTTCTTAACTCTGTGGCTAGGATCTCCTGGGTAATGTAGACGCTGTTAGGCAGTTGAATGCGGTGTGTTGTTGTTTGGTTGTGTCCGATTCTTCGTGACCCCATGGACCAGAGCATGAATGCGGTGAACCCTTTACAATACTCCACCTGTTTCTCTCCCTCCAACCCACCCCTCCACGCAGCCCCAGGCACTAGCAACCCATGCTACACTACTAACATAACCAACTAGTAGTTACAAAAAAGAGAAAGAAGCAGAGACAGAGAAGGTCCCTTAGGACTCATCATAGACATAGGGAGGGACCTGACTCAGAGGGAATACCTACAGCGAAGGAGGAGGTGCAAGACAATGGCTTCCTATAATAAGGGAGTATATTTCATGAGTCTCTGCATGTTTCCTGTTTTGATTCCTTAATAAATCTACTACCTGCAAGTGAGCTGCGATGGTCTTACCTTTCTCTGAACTGTGCTGAACTGTGCGAGGTGTCAGTACTCTCGTGACACAGGCACATACCCAGAACGCAAGAGGTTGTGGAGGAAGGAGAGAAGGAACTGAGGGGAAGGACAACAAACTCAAATATTTATGTTGGTTTTAGTTAGTTTCAGCTTATTTGTCCTACAGACCACAAATAAATACATTATAGGCTTATCAAAACCATCACAGCAGAGAAAAAACACAATATACATGCAAACAGATTGTTCTGAGTGTGCCTTTTAAAATACACAAAATTCATGAACAATCTATGAACTATCAGAAATAGTTAAATAATACAGACAATTTTGGCTCAGAACTTATCTTCCCTTTTTAATAATTATGGCCTAACATACTTATGTGCAAGATTTTGGGTTTGTTTGTTTTAATATTTAAAATTTTCAAATATTATTAAAGGTGCAAGCATTTTTGAGTTGCACTGCATACTGCCATTTCTTGTTGCTTCAGGAAAACAGTGCCTGACAGACCATTTCGGAGGGACGATTGTTGCTTAGCGTTCAGCATAGTAAGAGTGCCTAGCAAATTTTAATGCTGAGTGTGAGGATAGTTTCCATGAAGAAGCGGCCAGCAAGAAAAAGATTGAAGTCAGTGAATTTCTGATAAATGTGACAGAAAAACTGACAGACTGCTTTAGGTCCCTATTGATCTGCTCTTTATTGAAATAAATTGAGCTAGATACTAACTGCTTTTGAATGGGTTTCCAGCAATTCTCACTTTTCCTGCTCTCATTTCTTAAGATGTTTGGGCGAAGGTAAAAGATGTGGACTGGGTACATGTAATGACTGTTTAAAGATGAGGAGGGGGTTCTATATAGCATAATTGCTTCCATGTTCATATTGATTTATGTGCTTCCGTGCCCTACTGTAACTGGGGCTATAACTAAACCTAAGCATATGTAACTGAAACAACCACATATTGCTTCCCTATTTATACCTTCTGCCCCTCCTCCCCATCCTCTGTTTCCTTTACGCTGAATTTTAAATGGTAAACTTCTCTGAGTAAGAACTGCCCTCTAAAATGGTAACTCACTGTGTGATTTATTTATTTATTGCTTGTATCTGCATACACACAAAATGACAAAATACTACCCCGCAGGTTGTCAGGAAAAAATATTTTAGCTCTTGATGAGGCAGGAGAAGTGGTGGGCATTTATAACCCCTTGCCAGCAGAGTAGACCAATTTAGTTTCCGTTGCTTATCACTGATGCCAAGTCATTGATCAGCCTTATAGAATTGCCCTTGTATACCTTGTTGTCTAACCATTAATACCATTACATTTGCCCCAACTTTTTCGAGCAGTGAGAAGCTTGCAGAGCTGAAAGTGAATTATTTGCCTCTTTTTCTATGTCTCACTGAAACCCACCTCTCTTTCACAGATCGAGAAAGAACTAGATTAGCAGGATGAGGAAAGGATATGCAACCTGCCCACCTAAGAACTTAAATAAGACCATAATTAAGAAGAGGCCTGCTGAGTCAGACCAAAGACCTATCTAGTTCAGCATCCTGTTTTCACAGCGCCACAAGCAGGACCTGTTTGTGATTTCCAGCATACTGTGTCCGACACTGAAGGCGGAACACAGCCACCGTGACTACCGGCCATTGATAAACTTATCCTCCAGTAATTTGTCTCTTCTTCTTCTAAACCTGTCCAAGTTGCTAGTCATCACTACATCTCGTAGGAGCGAACTATGCCTGGTAAGTGCCTTCTTTTGCCTGCCCTGAACCTACCACCATTTTGCTTCATTGAACGGCCTCAAGTTCTAGTACTATAACTGTTAAGTTGTGGGTGAACTTATCAGACGACACAGCGATTCTTCAAACAGCTCTTGTTTATTCAGAAGCCAGAACAGAACTGAACTGAAGGGCTCAGTCAGCCTGCTTATATAGAGCTCCAGTACCTCGTTACTGTAACAACTTTCTAAAACTATCCAATCACTGAACGTCACTTTCGATCCTTCATTTGCATAACTATCTACAGTATCCATCCAATCACTGAACGTCACTTTCGATACTTCATTTGCATACTATCTACAGGATCCCCCTGCTGGCCCAGGGTGAGAACTTCAGTACATAACAATAACAGAGGGAGGAAAACTGCCTATCAAGTCTGTCCACTTCCCTGACTGCATTTTCCAACTCAGATCATTCCAGAGTGATCCTGCATGAGCCCTTGTGGAAAAACACCTGAATGGTGTCAGAAATGCATGGGTGCCAACTTGACTAAAATATTGGGAAGCCCAGGTATGTCCTGCACAATTGATCACATGGCACAGCACACACACACCATCTGAATGACAATGCCCATCAACTTGAGGGGGGCAAATATTTTATGGGGAGGCAAAGGGACCTTGACCCCTAGGAGGTGGCTTCTATGCCTGAGATAGGGGGTTCACAATGAAGAGGAAAGCTTACAGAGCCCCAACTAGCCTCTTCAGAGAAGGCATGAAGGGTCCTTACCTCTTTCAGCAGAGTTTAGGACCCGACTCATCATAGGGATCCTCCAGGGAGCTCTAAGTATAGGTGTAGGGGGATTTCTCAACAATACTAATACCTGACCACGTTCCCCATCACTTCCTGCCACTCAGCACTGGACCATCTTGCTTCTGATCTCTCACCATGGCAGCACCTCTTGACCAAGCTACTGGCGTGCTGGTTGTCATCTTCCACAAATACGCCAGTAAGGATGGTGATAAGAACACCCTAAGCAAGAAGGAATTGAAGGAGCTGATACAGAAGGAGCTCACCATTGGACTAAAACTGCAGGAAGCAGAGATACAGGCATTAATGAAAGATCTGGACCGCAATGGGGACCAAGCGGTGAACTTCCAGGAATACGTCACTTTCCTGGGTGCCCTGGCAATGATTTACAACGAAGCTTTGAGTTCGTAAATGTACACCCCGGTGGGGCGAGGTGTCGTGGTTCGGGATTATACCTCTGTAGGCGGTTTCACGTCCAATAAAATTTAAGTTTTGTAAAAATATATATACAGTATGTATACTAATACCTTCTTGGGGATCCCCTAAGCCTCCACCTTATCACCTCCCTTGTCTTTGCTCCAGTGCTGGTTAGTGACCAGGCTCCCAAAATCTGGATTTCTGCTGATGGCTCTCCCTCCTTCCTGTCCTCTTCTTCTTCTGATGAACTGTTCCTGCAAGGTCCCCTTTGCTGCTCTCTCCCCACCAGCACCTCTCCTCTTTATGCAGTCATGAGTGACAGGTTACATGTCCAGAATCTGCTGCAAAACTCCACTTCCAGCTTGTTCACATCCACTGCCTTCATACATCCCTATCTGTACAGTTCTAATTATTGGGTTGGAGGTTCCAGTGCAAATTGAAGAAAGAAGCATTTTGTGGATATAAAGAACTGCAAGTCTCACTAGGAATAGAGTACTACTGATGGATTGATTCAATTTTCTAGTACATTTTAATCATTACATTGGCAGGATTATAAAGTGCCTACTAGGTGACACCCATGGGGTTGACACAGTACCCATTATGCTGACAAATTATTTTTGTAGGTAAAGAATTATTGAAGACTAGAGTGAGGTTCCTTTACAATATCAAAAGCCTTTGTCCAACTCACAGTTACTTACATTGAACAATTTCCTGTGTGAAAGCTGCAGGAAATGAGAATTACTTTGGAACCTACAAAGTACAGTGGTGCCTCGCAAGACGAAATTAATCCGTTCCGCGAGTGTCTTCGTCTAGCGGTTTTTTCGTCTTGCGAAGCAACCCTATTAGCGGCTTAGCGGATTAGCGCTATTAGCGGTTTAGCGGCTATTAAAGGCTTAAAGGCTTAGCGGCTTAGCTGCTAAAAGGCTATTAGCGGCTTAGCGGCTTAGAAAAGGGGGGGGAGCGGAAAAAAAATCTCAAGACTCGCAAGACATTTTCGTCTTGCGAAGCAAGCCCATAGGGAAATTCGTCCTGCGAAGCAACTCAAAAACGGAAAACCCTTTCGTCTAGCGGGTTTTCCGTCTTGCGAGGCATTCGTCTTGCGGGGCACCACTGTACTGAAATTAATTTGTAATCAGGACAGCACTTACTCTTAGTTTTTAAAGCCAAGACACAGCATTCACTTTCTGTGCCACGCTTCCTCAACCGCAGCCCTCCAGATGTTTTGAGACTACAATTCCCAGCATCCCTGACCACTGGTCCTGCTAGCTAGGGATCATGGGAGTTGTAGGCCAAAAACATCTGGTGGGCAGAGGCTGAGGAAGCCTGTTCTATGCAGACCACACATGTACACCATCTCTGTGCTGAGGTTGGAAGAGAAGGGGATAACCTATGTCCCAGTTACCTGAACTATATCAGTACAATAGCATTAGCATTTAAGGCAGTTCATTGTCTGCATTCTGGGTTCACATACTAAGAGTACAATTCTATACATTCACTTATTTATGGAAAGGGTTCCCAACATTTTTGGGCCCAAGTAGCACATCTGGAAATCTAAGAAACAATGTTAGACACCACAAAATATCAATTTCACAGAAGAAAAATTTGAGATGCGCAGAAACCACCAATTTCAGACAGACAAAACACCTACAACTATCCCAAAATAAAGTAAGCACACTCAAAAAAGCAGGTAACTCCTTCTCCCGCAAAAAAGAACTTGTAAAAAAAAGAGAGAGCCAAAACCACTAATTTAAAAAATAAATAAATGGGAGGGGCTCTGACTGGTGCCAAGGGCTGTGTCTGAGAGTGCCATGGTACCCACCTGCACCACATTAGGACCCCAGATTTAGGGTGTGTGTATTATATACATCGGGTGGCATTGTGGGTTAAACCACAGAGCCTCAGGCTTGCCAATCAGAAGGTTGGTGGTTCAAATCCCCGCGACGGGATGAGCTCCCATTGCTCGGTCCCTGCTCTTGCCAACCTAGCAGTTCGAAAGTGCGTCAAAGTGCAAGTAGAGAAATAGGTACCGCTCTGGTGGGAAGGTAAACAGCATTTCCGTGCGCTGCTCTGGTTCGCCAGAAGCGGCTTAGTCATGCTGGCCACATGACCCAGAAACTGTACGCCGGCTCCCTCGGCCAGTAAAGCAAGATGAGCGCTGCAACCCCAGAGTCATTTGCAACTGGACCGAATGGTCAGGGGTCCCTTTACCTTTACCTGTTTTACAAATAAAAGTTTCAAATTGACTTAACAGCAGGAAAAAATATAAGTGAAATCAATTGCAAACCAAATAAAAAGAAAAGAACATACAAAATAAAAATGTACAAACATCCAATCAACAATGGTTTCTTGGTTCTTCACAATTCAAAAACAATTAAAATATAACTACAGTACAATATTTTTTTTAATCAGTACAAAAACAGACCAACACAGAAATTAGCCTGAAATCATAATGAGGCAAAATAAAAACACCATAGCCCAGCCAAGGGGAAGTACAGCACAACCGAAAAATATTTGTCTGCTCAGAAGCAAGCCTCACTGAGTACAATGGGATTTACTCTTAGGAGAGTGCAGCATAAGGTAGAAATCCTTAACTACCTGGGAGAATAGGTGAGAGACCACAGGATGCTGTGGGCCTCCCTTTCTGCCATCTGAGAAGTTGCTGCTGCTGCTGCTGCTGGAAGTCTGTCTTGTGTGGCAATGAAAATCTCCACCATCATTGCTGTTCCAGTGGTGGTGGTTCTCCAATGGCAGTGTGGCCAGGAATAGGCAGGTCAGGAAAGGCAATAGATCCATAGGATCCTATGCACACTCATTCCCCTCAGACACCCCTCCCCAAAGCTTTAAACCAATGCCAGCCCTGGAATTGTCATATATCATACTTCAGGGGGTGGGGGAGACATCAAAAGGTAAAGTGACCACAGACAAGTACTTCCCAACTATCCAAACTGCTGTGAGCTGGCAGGGCTCTGGAGGTGGTGGCAGTGGCTGTAAAGTGGAGCTCCCACCACCATAGATAGGATCGCTCTGTCAACCTGTCTGCCACATCACACTTTGCTCTCTGTAGCATGTAGAATTAGCTACTTTTCTATACTACCTGCTGAAGAGTTCTGTATGGCCTAAAGAGGATGCAAAAAAATAAATAAATGCTTTGCTTTTCAGAGACCAAAACAGCAATTGAACATTATACCAAACAGAATTAAGAGGAGATCTTCTTCAGAATAGATTGGTCATGCCCATATCATTTCAGATTTCAACTGTATCCACTATCATTCATCTAAGTATTATCGCAAGTATATGGAAATGCAAACACATTGCATAGGCAGAGAGGGTAAATCTCATTTGATAGAGCCTGTGAATATGAATTATTCAGTGCTGCTGTTGTATAGCTATCCCAGTTCTGTGTAACAAACCCTGCATTAGCACAGAGTTATATTTGGGGCAGGTTTTTAGGAACACAACTGTTTTCTGTGCATGGAAAAGGCTAGAACTTAAAGTGAAACAATACCAAAGCAAAGCTGCAGGCTGGTGCAGATGGTCCAGCCCAAAGGCAAATCTATTTGCAACAAAGAACCAAGCAGAATTTTTATTAATTGCTGCCAACACAATAATACCCTCTGTTGGAATGTCAAAGAATATGAGTTACTTTTTGGGTGGTTAAATATACATGGGCTTCTGGACCAGAGGTGGCATGCAAGTTCACTGGTTCAATGCAGCGAAACGGCAAGAGGCATTCTTAAGAAATCCATTCCCGTAACAGATTGTTTTTCTGGTCCTATAATTTACTTTCAGTACAGAATTCTAAAATGTCTGTTTATATTAGCATACCCATATCCACAGTATGTTCGTAGAGTATGGAGACAATCCAAGTCCTGCATGGGAAGGGGCTTACAGTTCTGTTCAGTTAAAGAGACAGCTCTTTCCTGTTAATGCAAAACACACAAAACATTATCCACTTCCGTGACGACTAGATGACCTGCTCCTGAATACACAGACCTCTTCATGTACTTCAGAACAAAAGCACCCTATAGACCTCTCTATCTGGCCCTCGGGACTCCTCCTCCTTAGCCATACACCCCTCTCCCAAGGCCATACCTCTCCCTAGCCCGACTTTGCACTCACTCCCTGAGTGTTTTTGCCTGGCTGGAATGTGTCCTTGAATGCCAATAATGCCTCTCGCTTGAGTGGACAAAGGACAGAGAAGTATGGGTGAGTATGTCTAAAACCAGCTTACTGTACACTTTTGCCACTGGCCCTGCCCAGCATTGCCATGTGGCCCCCAGAAGGGTTTGCCATCACTGCTATAAATGCTATGCAGAAACAAGTACCACTAAATTCAGTGGGACTGACGCAACGTAAGCAGGCATTAGACTGCAGTATTAATCATTTTATGAGGACATTAGTAGATAATTCCCCTTTTCCCACGATGCCGCCCCCCCCAATTCAAAACTTACCTGTACTCTTCTGTTTGACTTTTGACTACATACTTATGCAGATTTGTTGGCCCATATGTAGAGACCATGATGAGCTGCATTAAACATGACCCTTTCTCAAATGACAGCCCCATCTGCTCAACCTCAGCTTATAGATATTTATGAGTGCCTGGGGAAACCCAGCCAGATGGGCGGGGTATAAATAATAAAATTATTATTATTATTATTATTATTTATTCTCTCTCTCTCTCCCTCTCTCCAGTTGTCTTCAGGTAGAAGACACAGAACTAAGGTCACACCGACCCTACTACAACATTATTCTTTTTCATACTCTGGAATTGTCCAATAATGCTTCAGGAACATGTATATAACAAAGTTTAAAATGGTTACCAATGCTTCTTTTTGCACACTGAGCCTCTAATCAGCTCGGCAGGAACACACAGTGTATCTTTGGAGTCAGTTTTCCTGTCAAACAAAGGGAGGGAAGGCAAATATATGCATGAACCCATCTCTCTTGACTGCATTTAATGCCTGTGCTTAGTCATTCCGAACAATTACTGCCTCTTGTGACAAGCCGCAAAAAGAAAGAGTGTGATTCGGCCACATTACCATGCCTCTTCAGTGAGGGT